AACATTTTCTATTCCGAAACTACCCTCCCCTTCGTTCTTTATTCCCTTCAGTGTCCCCTCCCTCATCAACTCCATCAACTCCCCCAGCAGCGACACCACCGTGGTCCGGTCGCACACCGCCGTGTGGAACCGCAGCGCCATCACGTGTCCCCCTTCCTCCGGCAAGGCGTAAAGGCTCGCGAAGAGCACGTCGGCGCCGGAAGGCGGGAAGGAAGCGGGGTTTCGCCAGGCGGCGTTGTTGCTCAGCTCGTGCTCGAGGATTATATGGAATGGAGAGGGAGAAACGACGTCGTCGTCGGAATCCGTCCGGGACCGGAGGATCTGCAGAGTTGACGGCGCGTCGAACGGCGTGATTTGGATGTCTGGGGTGGCGGATATGGCGAAGGAGAAGGCCTTGGTTGCGGCGTTGTAGCGCAGCTTGGAGCGGAGGATAGGGTGGGCATTTAGGATCTTGTGGAGGGCATTTCGGAGAAGACAAGTGTCCGCGGCTTTCGGCGACACCAGAAACGCCAGCACTGTGATGCCTGTGCCGCCGGACACGGCTCTGCACCAGCCGTGTTCGGTGCCTCCGACAACCCTCTCCTTGTTATTCTCATCGGCGCCTTTTCTAACAGACATTATTGTCGTCGTCTTGTTACACAGTATTATTGTTTATTGGAGTTAATAAGGATTCGGAAAGGTGGCCGGTGTTGAAACAGTATAAATGGCAGCCTTCTTGGTTTGCTATTTATAAAATATTCTGCAAGGTGGACCGATGTTAATTGTTAACAATATTACACATTTAAGAATTAAGAACATCCGCCGCATGGGTAGCTCAACTGGTCAGGTGAAACTTTGGAAGAATGACCAGGTCGCGGCAGTGTGGGAGCAACCTCTCAAAGTGAGAGGGGCTCATTGTGCGCAGTGAGCACGGATTTAGCCTCTGTGGTTCAGTTGAGCGACCATAATTTACATCCTCTCAAATGCCCGGAATGTGGGGCCGAGGGCCCTTAAGGTTAAGTTCAACCTTTGGAAGAAGAATTAAGACCATCCCCTCATAAATTAGTTAAGAGTAGTCATACCAAGAGGAAAGATATGGGAGTTCAAATCTCGCAATGGTGACCTTTCAAAAGACTAGTTTTGGAATGAATTAATTTCACTTTTCTTCAAACTAGTTTTGAGGTCTTATTACTTTTTGGTGCACAACTTTAAATTTATTCAATTTAGTGTTTAACTTTATTATTTTTTATTAGTTGTGGTCCTTCATTTCCATCCAAATTGAAGGTGAAATATTGCCGAGTTTTATATTTTAGGGGCAAAATCGTCATCCCAATGAAAGATCTTCAATATCTAAAAAAAAAATCATATTAAGAGAAATAGATGCACTTGTCAATCGTCGACGCTATAAATTTCATAAATATGTGTCTAATTTATGCCCGTCTTCTCCATTATTCTCATCGATCAAACACCTATAAATATGATTTTATAGTGATTTTGTTTACATATTGAAGATGTTTCATTAGGATGACGGTTTTACCCCTAAAAATATAAAATCCGATCCAGCAATAGTTCATTGTCAATTTGGCCGAAATAACCAAAACTGATAAAAATAACAAAGTTAGACATTAAAAATAAAAAATTTTAAAGTTGTGCACCAAAAGTGATAAAACCTCCAAAGTCGTGGGACCAAAAGTGAAATTAATTTTTTGGAATTGAAAAAACTAATTTTAATATTGATTCTTTAATTTGTAATTTTGGAATTCGTTAGTGTCCCTCAAATTATAGAATATTTAGTTAATTAGTAAAATGAATATCAATTAATTATGTAAAAAAATGTTGCCAACAAAATAAATGACAACTTTTATTTGATAAAAGAGTGATAACTGACAAGCAAGATTATAATTGTTTATATGTTGTATTATGTAAAAAATTTTAAAGTATCGATTGACTTGGATGCAAATTGTTACATTTTTTTTTTTTTGAATGCGGATGCAAATTGTTACATAAATTATCATTAAAAATTATTATCGATAATACATAATATAATTATATATGGTATATATATAATGATATCATTTTCCCAATATATATAATGATATCATATATATATGACCGGTACTGATGTTGATTGACATTGTAAATTTGTTATGTAATTTTAGCCTTTATGACATAAATTTTCTAACTCCACCCCCGAGCCAATTGTCCCACTCCTTAAAAAGTATTTATAATTTTTTTTGGGTGTTAATTAAATCATGAGGTGGTCTGGATCTTTTTCTGTCTGTTTAACAGTTCAGGTCCACCCAACTAATTTTCATTCGCTATCGGAGTACATGGAAGCTGATCCAAAAAGAATCATCGCTTGAAAGTGATTATAATTTAATAATATGATTAATTACTGTATCCGACGGTGAATACGCGGGTTAGACCAAAAGAAGAAAATATGTTAGGCAGAATACATCCATCTGCATTAATATCATGGTAGAAATTTGTTCTTATCATGGTAGAAATTTGTTTGAGAAATGGTTAAATACGATAACTACCACTGAATAGTACAATGATGATTCATCTGATCTGACACCATGTGGAAGTGTGAAACTACATTGGTTCACAACAAATAGGCTCCAACGACTATATATTTCCTAATGTGGCTATAAATTAATGACTATATGTTGCGCCTAATTAAGAAGTTGGATAAACTCTGAAGAGAAGTAGGTGATACTAGCCGGAGCAATTAAATTATTATTTGCCCAAGGAGTGGAGAAGTAAATTGAGCATGATTTTCGTACTATAAAGTTACAAATTTAATTTTTGATAACACTCTTTTAGTTGAACATGTTCTATCATTAGATAATAACTGAGTATTTCTTTCATCAAGAAAAAAAAAATCATTTGAGTGATTGTATAATATATAATAATATAACCTGGAAGGTGTGGTTGAGTGGAAGGGACTCATCCATCCTTAACCAAAGATCAAGGGTGGGTTCGATCCTTGACTTTGACAGATACATCAGGTATATAATTACATCAATGTCTCTATCCTGGGTACAAAAGGCAAAATCCCTCACACCCACACATGAGCTGGCCAGTCCACTATGGATAAGCAACCCTTTAGTTGGGAGGATCAGTGCATGCCCAGCCCAATAGGGAGTGTGGAGGAGTGACTCAGTGACCCTCTAGCTTGGAGGACGTACTCATGACTGGTGCCCATAAGAAAATTAAACATCCCTACAAGAGGGTAAAACTCTCACACTATAGTGATCTTTCACCCAATAAGTCAATAACGTAACCAATTCAACTGATGGTATTTTGAGTGAATTTATTACTGATATACATTAGTTGTGTACATATATGTGCATTTCATATTACCATACCGAAGTTCATGTGACCATTGATGGGTTGCTTCCCTATTTATGTAAAGAAATAAATGTTGATTTGGTAGAAAGCAATATTTGATTAGCTGGGGCTCGTTGGCTGGTTTTAATTTGTGTGTTGAGAATAGCCAAACAGTACTAGGTAATTGATCGAACTGTAAACATAGTTGCCTACCTTATTCTTCCTGTTGCCAAATCTCATGCCCCATTTTGTATTCCTTGTCCCATCCACTTCAGGAAATTATATTGTGCGATTCAGATCAGTTCATCTTAAAAGATAAGTTTTGATATAAGTACAATTTTTTTGGTATATTATAATAAACTCATTTTTAGTATATTACTATGTGTTTATTATTTGTATAATAGCTAAGTTCGTTATATTTTGATGTACATAATGTACAGAATTTATGTTCATAATACACATATACATCAACACGATATAATAAAGACACAAAAATACTTAACATAATACATGAAATTCTTATTCATAATGTATAGAATTTATGTTCATAATGCACAGAATCTATGTTCATTATATTATATTTATGTGTATTATAAACATGAATTCTGTGTATTATAAACAAGAATTCTGTACATTATGGACTTTGGTCCACGATATAAGAATTGGGTAGTTACTCATCCACTCCTCATTAACCTTTAACACCATGGCATGCATTTAATTTGCACCACTACCTCAACCACTAGACTTTGCCCCTTTTCTCAATTCGTACTCACCCCACCCCCCCACAACAAAAAAAAAAAGTTTTTTTTTTTCTTTTTTCTTTCAATCCATAACTCACAAACTTTGTTCATTACTCCATTTCACACCCTAACCTTTTAAACCCAACCTATACCCAAAGTCTTGCATGTCCCTTTAGGCTCGACATGCCATGCGCCATTCTTTGACTTCTTAGGCTAAATTTGCACCCCAAATTGGCTCATGATTAGGTCTAACTTGCACCCTTCCTTGATTTCTTTGGCCCAACTTACATCCATTTTTGTCTTTAACCTATACTCCCTAGCTCCTAATCTCTACCATATATCTCCATCATTGGACTCCAATTACTTTAATTTTGAGACTCAAAGCTCAATTTCTTCATCAATTAATTTTATATTGCATTTAAACCCTTGCTCAAGTTTAATCAATTTTATTAAGTCAAATAAAGATTCAACCAGCCTGAAGATGTGACTATCAGTTAATTACTTGATTTAAAAATTATTCTAAAAAATATACATCAATGTCCACCTTGCCACATAAGGCAAATGTTTATTAACAAAAACTAAATCGTTATACATTATGATAATTATAAATTTATAATCAAACTATTTTAAATTATAATATCATTTTTAATTTTTTTTTTTTAATAACGAATCAAATTTAAGCATTTTGTATTAAAATATTAAAAATAATTGGAAGATGATGAAACTTTATATTTATTAATTTTTAATCGAGACTGTTGTGTGAGCGTCGCTTTGGCCGAGTGGTTAAGGCGTGTGCCTGCTAAGTACATGGGGTTTCCCCGCGAGAGTTCGAATCTCTCAGGCGACGATTTAATTAGAGTAATTTTTCATTTTTAAAATACAGCATCAAAACCACGTCGTTTTGATGAGGCTATATATATTTTTTAATTTTTATTTTGTTTTTTTCCAGCCTTCTCTGTTCTAAACCTCCGACTCCCCTCCCAGCTCCGGCGCTGTGCAGACCGGTAGGGCGCAGCAGCCTACAAGCCCTTATCTCCGACATAGGCCCTCCGTTTTCCGATCTCCGGCAGCCAGCAAGCCCTCTACTTCATTTAGGTATTTGAAAAACGAAATGTGATTTGATTTCATTGAAGTTCCCTTATTGTTTGATGCTTTGGTTGATATCTTGAACATCTTTAAATGAGAAATTCCCTTGTTAGTCTACACAAAGTGCCAGAGAAGCTTAATATTCAGGACCTCTTTATGCTTATGATTTTGTTTACTTATATTAGCACAGCTAAGTGACTAACCTAAATGTGTTTGAAAAAAAAATAATCCCACTTACAGGAATAAAAGTTTGAAATCTATTTACAAGAAAACAAATTGCAGCTTAATTAGTACAGTAAGTACTGATTTGGTGGCAACAGGTTAAATTTGAATTGTGAAGTGCAGCTTTAATTTCTCCACTGGTAGTAGGTTAGCAGGTTTGTTTAGCATTATTGTGGATTGGAAGCAGACAGTAGTTCTGGGTTGCAGAGCTCAAGTTTTGTTCTGTTTTTAAAGCTTAACTTTGATTTAGTTATCTCTGATGAGGACTTAGGACAAAGAGACTCAGTTTTTGGATATTTTTCTTTGGACAAACAAAAATAAAGGTAACAGAAATTCTTGTAATAGAGTGATAAACACTGTGTAATTGTCAACTATCCTGGATTCTAGATTAGAAAATTTGCTTAACTTGTTGGTGAAAGTAATAAGCATCTGTTATTAAATGTTTTTGCCAGTGTTAAAACCACCAATAAGATTGTAAATAACTCTAGTCTCTTGTTGCAGGTGTATGTGATGTAAGATGAGGCAAAAAGAGTATTTTTATTCAACCAAAATACAAAATCATTCCCATTTGTGGAGCTTTTTGTTAGAAAATTTATTAGAGGCCCAAAATGGCCGAAACTATGACATTCATGTTCACTGCCATTCTACAGCTCTACTCCTCGTCCTAATGTTTCCCTCTAAAAGCTTAAACCCCTCTCCTCTTCCCATTTCTGCAATTAATATAACACCAAAAGAACTAAATTTTTAATCATCCTCATAGAGTTTCATACAAATGCTAACAAGTTCAAGAATGAAAATGCTTATGAATGCAACAGCGCCCAAGTTCAAATTTCAGGAACCCATTTTCAGACCTCTTCTAAGCCCTAACCGTGTTCAAACTGTAAAACCATGGATCACTATTTCTTCATATGGGTATTTAGCAATGTTGAATTGCAATCGAGTTCGGAGCTTGAAAACCCAGTCAGTGCAGATGGTTTCTGGAGAGTTTCCTACAATTCTGGGAACTATGTTTGCTGGAAAAGCCACCACTGTTCTTAAGAGGATACAGTCTGATAGAAGCAAAAGCAGGTTAGGAAAGCTCCGACCTTAATGCTTCATTTTGTAATTCTTTGTCTATATTTCTGTCACCTAATTTACTTATCTTTGTCGTTAATTCGAGTTTTATATTTGTCCATTGCTTAGTTGGAGTTTTATATTTGATTGGAATTAGGCCAAGTGGCTAACTCGTGGAGAAAAAAAAAATCTAGTAATAATGCTCTAGGAAGACACTCATGTTGAATGTTGGGCTTGAATTTTATATGAGGTTAATTTTGTATAATTGTTAATATTTTCTATAAAAAAAGATGCGAGGTTCTTAATTTTGTTATACTTTTAATTTATTTATGGTTTTCTAGTAGAGGTGCTCAGGTGCTAAGGTAATGACATAGGGATAAAAACATGAGCCAATGCATTATGTGGCCGAAAAAATCAACTTAAGCCGAATCTTGTGAGTACTGTAATTAAAGTTTGAGACTTTAGACAAAAATGGAGAGTGTTTACGGTTTCATTTCACTAACCAAAACCACAAAGTGTCAATGCTGTTTTTTACAAATTCTTTTCTGTCCTTGCTGATTTCTCTGGATTAATTAATGTAGATACCCTTGGAATAGTAGAGAAATAAATGTACAATTGGATAGTTTTGTTTGTTCAATTAGACAACTACATAAAGTGATTGTTGATTATATTCATAGTTTTCAGGCCAATGCCCTAAAGAATTTGTTCTGTTTGGATGAAACAATAAAAGATCTCTGTTTCTCTGGAAGAGTGATGGAAGCAGTTGGGATATTGTGCCGCACTGGGGTACAAGTGGAATCTGAAACTTATTCCCTCCTCTTGCAGGAATGTATTTTCAGGAAAGCATATAAGAAAGGGAGAAGAATTCATTGGCAAATGATTGTTGTTGGTTTTTTTCCAAATGAATATCTGACAATTAAGCTCTTAATCCTATATGCAAAATCAGGCGATTTGGATACTGCACATATTATTTTTGATAGATTAAAATACAAATGTCTAGTCTCGTGGAATGCAATGGTTGCAGGATATGTGCAGAAGGGGATGGAAGAAGTGGGCTTAAGTCTTTTTTACAACTTAAAACAAAGTGGCTTGAATCCAGACCAATACACTTTTTCATCAGTCTTTAGGGCCTGTGCCTCTTTAGCTATTTTGGAACAGGGCAGGCAGGCACATGCTATGATGATAAAATGCCAAATTAGCAGAAATATTGTAGTTAATAGTGCCCTTATGGACATGTATTTCAAATGCAGTAGTCCCTATGATGGGTATCTTGTGTTTGAGAACTCCTTGGAAAGGAATGTTATAACATGGACTGCTTTGATTTCTGGTTTTGGGCAGCATGGTAGAGTAGTGGAGGTCTTGGAATTTTTCAATAGAATGATTAGTGAAGGTTTTAGACCCAACACTGTTACATTTCTTGCAGTTCTTTCTGCATGTAGCCATGGAGGCTTTGTGGATAAAGGTAAAGAGTATTTTTCTTCAATGTCAAGAGATTATGGGCTTCAACCAAGCGGAAAACACTATGCAGCTATTGTTGATCTTTTAGGACGTGCAGGAAGATTAGAAGAGGCTTATGAATTTGTTAAAAACTCTCCCTGTAAGGAGCATTCTGTTTTATGGGGTGCTTTGCTTGGGGCTTGCAAGGTTCATGGAAATATGGACATGGTGAAAATTGCTGCAAGAAATTATTTTGAGTTGGAACCAGACAATGCTGGTAAATATGTTGTCTTGTCTAATGCTTATGCTTCTTTTGGTATGTGGAACAATGTTGCAGAGATCAGGAGAGTGATGAAGGAGTCGGGGGTTAAAAAGGATCCTGGATATAGCATGATTGAGGTTCAAAGACAAGCCCACTTCTTCTCTATGGGCCATAATACGCATACACAAACAGATTTCATATATGAAGTGGTTAGGGATTTGACTTGCATTCTGAGAGACACTGGAGATGTACTAGAACTGAGCAGTTAAGGGAAAGCATATTGCAAAAGTTGTCAGAGTTCCCAGTCTCAACTTAAAACCATATTCCTTCTATGTTCTTGATTCACTATGCAACCTCACGCTATTTCTATGTTCTTGATTCATGATTTCTTCCTCAATCTTTCCTTTTGTACAAAGAGGTGTTGACCAGATTTTTGTAAATTTGTAGTATTTTAATCAGAATAATACGTTAGTCTGGTTGTTTCAAGTTTCAATTTTTGCACTTTCCTGTGCATAACAAGAGCAGTGACGCATCCTGATTTTTTTATTCCATCTCAGGACTCTGAGCAAAATCTCTATGTTCAAATCCAAAACCCGAAGGCTTCTTCACTCCATTGATGCACAACATGGTTTGTTCTTAGCATCCCCATTTACATCTATTGCTGCTGAGACTACAACAAAGCACCATGTGTATGAGCAGATAGCCCATCTCCCACAAACATCAACCCCACAGTTCCCGCACTTCGTGGATCCAAGGTTTTACCTCTCTTCACTTGTGAACTGTAAAAGTGTTTCTGAAATCAAACGGGTTCATGCCCAAATAGCAGTCAATGGTCTTCTTGATAACCTTCTTGTTGCTAACAAGCTTCTTTATACGTACACCACACATAAGGTTATTTCTGATGCTTATGCTTTGTTTGGTGGATTGAGTGAAAGAGATCCTGTTTCTTGGAGTGTTATGGTTGGTGGGTTTGCTAAAGTTGATGACTTTATCAGTTGTTTTAGGACTTTTAAGGACTATCTGAGATCCGGGGACCAGCCTGATAGTTATACTTTGCCTTTTGTCATAAGGGCTTGTAGGGATAGAATGAACCTTCAAATGGGTAAATTGATTCATAATGTGGTTTGTAAATACGGGTTGCAATCAGATCCTTTTGTGGCTGCAGCTCTTGCGGATATGTATGCAAGATGTAAGGTTATCGGTGATGCCAAGCAAGTCTTTCACAGAATGCCCAACAGGGATGTTGTGACTTGGACAGTCATGATTGGAGCGTTTACTGACTGTGGGGATCCATACGAGGCTCTGGTTCTCTTTGATCAGATGAGAGAGGAAGGGGTTTTTCCTGATAAAGTTGCCATGGTAAACGTTGTAAACGCGTGTGCAAAATTAGGGGCAATGCAGAAAGCAAGGCTTATCCATGAATATATTCTGAGAAACAATTTCACACTGAATGTGATACTGGGAACAGCCATGATTGATATGTACGCTAAGTGTGGAAACCTTGATTCTGCAAGGGAGATATTTGATTGTATGAGAGTAAAGAATGTTATAACTTGGAGCGCAATGATTGGGGCTTATGGTTATAATGGACAGGGCAAGAAAGCTCTCGACTTGTTCGCTCTAATGCTGCAGAATAGGATACAACCTAACAGGATCACATTCGTGTCACTCTTGTATGCTTGCAGTCACTCCAGGCTGGTCGAAGATGCACAAAAGCTCTTCCGATCGATGGAGGGAGAGTATGGCGTAACGCCAGATGTGAAGCATTATACTTGTATGGTCGATGTCTTAGGCCGAGCGGGAAGATTTGAAGAAGCACAGAGTTTGATTCAGAACATGACGGTTGAAAAGGATGAAGGTCTCTGGGGAGCATTGCTGGGAGCCTGCAGGATTCATGGCAGAGTAGAACTTGCAGAAATGGCAGCAGATTCACTCCTCGAATTGCAGCCTCAGAATCCCGGGCACTATATACTGCTCGCCAACATTTACGCCAAAGCTGGAAGATGGCAAGACGTCGCCAAGATCCGGGAGCTAATGACACATCAGAGCCTGAAGAAAACGCCCGGCTGGACATGGATCGAAGTGGACAACAACATCCATCGCTTCAGCGTTGCAGATCACACCCACCCTTCCTCGAAGGAGATTTATCAGAAGCTGAGTCATCTGCGCGGGGAACTCGAGCTTGCTGGATACGTTCCCGATACAGATTTCGTGCTGCACGACGTTGATGAGGAACTCAAGCTGGAAAGCATATACGCTCACAGCGAGAAGCTTGCCATTGCATTCGGCCTCATCGCCACACCAGAGGGAACCTCCATTAGTGTCATCAAGAACCTCAGAGTCTGCGGCGACTGTCACACGTTTATTAAATTCGTGTCTCTGGTTACGAGCAGGACGATTGTTGTGCGCGATGCAAATCGGTTCCACCATTTCGGATCTGGTGCTTGTTCTTGTGGAGATTATTGGTGAGTTATACTGCATTCAGTACTTTCATAATGTGAATCTCCATACCCAGTTTTTGCTGGTTCACTGCAGAGTGACAGAATGTACTTGTGTCAATTTCCTCAGATATTACTATTCTTGAAACATGAAAATGAGATGGTTCCAAGTTCCAACAGAGAATGTATACAATTAACAATAATAAAATATAGGAAAATTTCACTTTTTTGTCTACGATAATTGTAGGATTTGTCCTTACTTTCTATTGGTCGTGCTTACTTCTCGAGTTCTCGTCCATAAGCTATAACTAACGTTGCAAGTTTCGTCATTTTTCAAACAAAATATTAAGAACGAAATTTACAATGCCAGTTATAGCTTAGAGATGATAACTGATAAGTGAGCACGACCTATTAGAAAAAAAATGAAACTTGTAACATTAGTTATATCGAGATGAAAAGTGAGCACAATCAACAAGTAGAAACGAACCTTACAATTACTTTATACCTTAGGAACGAAATTTTTCCTAAAATATAACATTTAAAATTGCATCACCATACCCTGGGCTGCAATAAGAGTTGATCGTTCGGTCATATTACAGGCACCAGAACCTATAAACGTTAGGCCCATGGCCTATCTAACGATTTACCTCATCCAGTAAAGGTTTAGACATTATAGTTGTAATTCTTAAAATTTACAAGATTGACCCAAAATTCATATGATATTATTTTTACATCTTTGTATAATAAGTTAGTTGATAAGGAAATAGTCGAGAACTAAACGATGAAACCAAGATTCTGTCTGTTTGACTTGTCATCTCATCGCCAAACTCATACAACCCGCCATTGTTGAAAATGAAATATGTGAGGCTGCAAAAATTTAAAGATATATTTTAAAAAGTCAAATTAAAACAGTTACATCAAATATAAGTTTGTCAATTTCAATTCACATCATAACTGGCGGTATTAATTGTGAATTAACATCGAAAATAATTAAGAAATAACATGTGTGATAAGACGATCAAAATAATATGCACAGAGTTAAGAAATAATTAAGAAATAACATGTGTCAATTTGACTAAAAAGGTGCTGGCAAGAATAAAACTCGTAATTTTTAGATACGAGAATCTATACCAAGACTTATATGACACTTTAATTTAAAGAACATAATAGTCACTCTTTTTGTCAAATCTCAATATACATATTAGTCAAAAACATTAAATAACCTATACTTTTCTAACTTCTAATAAGTTCATATTATAATTTTCAAAGTGCATGTTTATCCAATTCCACACTTGAGAAAGATCCGTGTATATATTGCATATTCGCATGCTTGACTTTGTGTATGTATAGTTGGGAGTGTTGATAATTGAAGTATGTGCTCCATTGGTTATATGCTCACACGCCCCCAGTAAACCGTAGTCGCTTATGAGTGGCGGTGAGATTCGAACCCATGACCTTTGGTCTGGCTCTGATACCAAATTGATGCATGTGCTCCATCTCAACTAAAAGCATAAACTGAGAGTTGGATTGCACATTAATGATTATATGCTCACATTGATTTCCCCTTTATCAATTTTTGGCCTTAAAATATTACTTGCAACGTGTGATAAGGCATTGGACATGTAAACAAATCAACAACTTTTTGGAAGCAATAATGATTCCTTGTGGTATTACAACAAGCTAAGTCTAATAGTCAAAATTATCCATTAAAAGAGAAATAAATTTTACTAGTATCATATCATATTCAATTTGACTATGTGTATGTACAAAAGAGCAAATCAGAGTTGCTGATATCTTGACAAAATATTCGCTTCGTTAGGCTAGGAGTGTATGTTCAAATGCTTAATAGTCCCCCGGCCTTCTTCTATCCTACTGGTCGTGATAGACGATAGGGCGGGTCGGAAAAGCCGTGCCTCACATGATCGAGTTCATGTATTGTGCGTTTTTTTTTTTTTTTTGGGATGTTCATAAAATGACTCTTATATTATTTTAATTTTATTGCATGTTTGTATATATACTACCCCGTAATATTTTTCATATATCTAAACATATCTTGTAAATTTCTTTTATTCAAAACCTAGTCACACCCACCACATCTCCCTCCTATATATATTCATTGAACCAAAAGAGGAAAGTCATCAAGAATAGATATGGATCAAAAAATAACTTTTTTTATTCATACGATCCACAGAGCAAATAAGGAATGAAGTCACAATTTTTGACCTCAAACAACCTTTGACACTCGTCCTATTTACTTTTCTCAGCTGGAGAATGGAGAATAATAACCAAACAAGCATGGAATAATATTCAATCCTACAAACCCCTCCTTAAGCTACAAATTTCGAATTTTACCAACAAAAAAAAAAAAGAAAAAAAAAGAAAAAAAAAAAAAAGGAGAAGTATGAATTTAATTTTGTTAAGGACACTAATGTACAAGTATTTGACTATTTGGGGCATAAAGACCAATTGAAAACTTAAGGCACATTAATATATGATTTATTTCACCAATTTCAAAATAAAAACAGTGATAAATTATTAAATTTTAAGTTTAAATTTATGAATTGACTAATTTTTACAGGCGCATTACGTGACTGATTGTGTCACGGAATCAATGCGCAAAAGTTGAACTTTTTTCACCTCGAAAATAGATAAGAACAATATACAAAAAACATGCATATATATGTGGTGGTTTTCTCGTTGATGTTTGGGAGTAGTATACATGCAATTCGTTGTAGGGTTAGTTGTGCCTTGTAGTTAGGCCCACTATACCATGCATATAGCTTGGTCCTATAATTCAGGGCATATATAAATAAGGCATTTATATATTAGTGGATGAATTGAACCAACCTGAATGAATTTCCATTTATATCATCGAAACCACGAGATACAAAATGTATACTCGTAAAGTACCGAATTTCATAACATAAGATACAAAAAAAATCATAACACAAAATACATATACATGTTATATATTTACTTATGTAATTTTAAATTCAAATCTGATTTACGTACATAATTTGTGTTCATACTTCATAGACACAGAATTTCACGACACAAGACACATAAATTCATAACATAAGACACAGTTACTAATTTGTTTCAGGTACAAAATTCATACACTTAAGATACAAAATTTCATAATACAAGACACAAATTAAAAACTCACAATACAAGATACATACACATGCACTAGGATCTACGATGCACTGTGAACCCTGGTCACGTCCATGGTATAAGGATTGGAATGAATTGAAGGACAAATGTTCTTAGATGTGGCCCTTTGATTAAGAATTAAAAAAGATGGGGAAATACCTCAAAAGAGATTATCAAGTAGGTAAAACATAATTCTCGTATTTAAAGATTATAATTTTTATTCTTGCCGACATTCTAGATAAGGTCTTTCTAGTGCAGTTTCTTTATATATGGTCTTTCTAATACAGTTTACATCGTCAAGTACAAAAATCGATCATATATATTCCGCCTACTCGATCACACTTTTTTTTGTGGCAAAACATATTATTTTTACCATTTGTGCTGTTGTAATATATATTGTACTAGTTCTATTCTAACCACACCTTTCGTTTATAAAGATCATCTTTACATCAAATTAAATGTGTTAATTAGCATTGAATCCAAGCTAACAATATCTGTCCTAATCAAACTAATACCCTACTAGTAGGAATTGTTTGGCTTCTCTAACACGGTGCTAGGGAGCCCATTGAGATTAAACCGCTAAAGATATTACCAACTCATTTAAAGTCATTGATTGATATATAATTAAATTAAACTCATAAGTTAAAAACATGATTTTTTAACATGTGAAAGTAATTGGGTTTGGAATAAATTTGACTTTTACTAAAAAAAAAAAAAAAAAAAAAAAAAAAAAAAAAAAAAAAAAAAAAAAAAAACTCAAAACGGTTAATCATGACGCACCCATTACAAATAACTTTCATAAAATATCATATATATGAAATTCAAGATGTAAGATCACATCTCATGTATTATCTTAGCTTATCCATTTGTACTGTGTCATGTTCTTCTTACACAAATAACGGCATATTAATTGATCCTCGTTACATGTGTTGATCCAATGGATGCCACATTTACTTTCAAAAGGTGAAATTTATTGTGTTTTTAAGATCTCATATTTCGACCTCTGAAAATAGTATAGAAATAAATTACAATCAAACATCTTAAGTAGGTGTATCGATGCCATATTCATTTCCATATATTTTTTGATCAGTCAAAGGTAATGAAAATTGAAAAGATAAAAAAAAAAAAAAATTGGTCTTGGAAATGCCAATACGGCAATACTTCAAGCTGGATAAAATTAAACCTGGAGGCCAAGCTGTTTAAGTCATTTTGGGCCGGCCGGAAAAACACGAAATATATGGGAATGAAAAAGTCAAAGATCTATGCATATTTTTCATTATCAGCTCATCTTTGACTTTGACAATGGAACTCACACCCTTGGAGCAAATTATATTGTGGATCGTGGTTGGTCCGGACCACTAACAACTATAGATCAGAGTATTTGTTTTTAGTATACTAAAAGTTTATTTTACTTAATGAGATGACTAAATGAGTTTGATAGATTCTCGTATATAAACGTTACGAGTTTGATTATTATCAACATCCTTTTAGTTGGACTTGTCACAGAGGTCCTTAATTTTTTTACATGATTTATTTCTTTTGTATGATTTGTAGACTACTACACATGAGCGACATTTATTTAGTACAGATAATTGAATAGTGGCTGCGAATTTTCTCCATCATCTAAAGAAAAGTTCATTTTTAATATACTATATATAGGTTCATTTGTAGGTCGTATATACTAAAAATGAACTTAATTTCAAAAATAAATATGTAGTACATATACTAGAAATGAATTTTCAATATACTAAAAATGAACTTATAAATTAATGGTGGTCCACTTTACAATATGTACCATGATCCATAATAATAATAATATAATGATAGCTTAAAAAGTAAACCAATCAAATTAAATGGGTTTAATTAGAAAATTCATAAATTTTTCCAGCTTTCAAAATCTCATAAATTTCAGAGAGTATAGTCAAATACCGAATGGGAAAATACATTGGGAAAGAAATAAAATCAAATTTGTACACTATAAAATTCTTTACTTCTCCCAACAAGCGTAATATTATACAATTTTATATAAAACGTGAATAATATGTACAGTTTTAACTAAAAGTTTAAAATAATAGTTGAAATACACATTTATTATATGTTCAATAATATTTTTGTTGTGTATATGTATCAATTACATTATTTTCTTATGTATTCCAAGCAACACGCAGATATAGTCTCTTTTTTATTAGATGGCGTAGCATGAATTGACAGACACCAAATTAAAGAATGTATATATTATATCTCAACAAAAATGTTAATTTGTAGTTGAGCTATACGTTTATAATGATTTTAACGCTTCCAAGGCAGTAGTCCAATAATGAATGAGAAGTTACATTTAAAACTTGCTTCTAGTGGCACCAAGGTGGGATTCAATTTGGTGGGATTTGGGAGTGATCTGTCCTTGTGCATAAAAGTATACAATTTGAGATCGAGAATGTGGGTTAGTTGTAATTTTATTGAATTACATTGTTTTAACCTAAGTAGAACTTTTGTTTGTTTCAATCTAGCTATCATAATGTATAATGATTTACACATGATTTTGATATTGGTATGGTTACTAGCAGACACTATTACCATTCCAATTAAACACGCATGCATGATTAAAATAATCATAAGAAAATATGGGTTCATATACTTCATAGAATAAAAAACATTTTTTTCTTTTCGATCTTTTCAAAGTATACTATTTTGATTCAAACAGACAAATAGACAATGAGTAAAAAAAGTCTTCAAAATAGATTGAGTCACATTAACACTAGGATAAGGAGTCATAATGTGATTAAAATACATAGAATCCTAATATAATAATATCAGTCCTAATACCGATCCTAATAAGCCTAACTTCTTGAATTAAATCTTTAAACCGTTATCATCCTTAAGAATAATTACTACAACCTTGTACTAAATACCCAAATAGTTACCCACAAAATCTGAAAGTTTCTTAATTGTATACTAGAGTCAAGTTATCTAAGTAGTTATCGACTTAACTAAAAACTCTCAACATTAAATTTTTCAAAACTTATCCAAAACCACATCCTCCTCTCTATCTATTTTAGCTTTTAAGTCAAATCATGCATCCTCTGATATCCTCATAATCCGCAACTCTTACTAGTCCAACCCACGCTTCTCTCTCATCACATCCCCTCCTCTATATAACCCAACCCTAGACTTCTTCCCATAACCCTCCTTGCATCTCTTCTTTCTCTCTCTCTCTCTCTATATATATATATACACTATAACAGAAGAGACAGTACATACGTACAACGTTGTAATGGCGTTGTCGTCCCAAAAGCTTGGGTGGGTTTTTCTGCTTTGTTTTGTGGTTTTCTGCGGCTACAAAAATGGCGTCGTCGTCGTCGAAGCCTCTCACAAGGTTTATATGCATCTGCAATCCCAAAGCGCCGTTGATATCAAGAAAGTTCATCGTACCGGTTACCACTTTCAACCCCCACAACATTGGATGAATGGTATATATGTCTTTCTTCCCAATCTTAATTTCCTCTAATTAATTATATTATTTAAGCTCATGATCTTTGGCGTTCTGTTTTCAAAACACTATTTGAGATTGTGCATGAGTAAACCTATCTCGTTTTTTAATAATAACTTATAATTCAGAATATATATATATATATATATATATATATATATATATATATATATATATATATTTGTGTATGTATATATGTACATATATGCATGTAGGGATGCCAACTAGGAACAAGATAAATTGTTATCTTATATGCATGTGGATTTTATAATGTCAAAGATTTTGTGCCATAAGATGTTAGAGAATAGAAAATATTAATTAATTTATTAGTCCTATTAATAATAAACACATAGATCTCGAATTTCAATGTATTCAAGATCAAGTTTATACTCGACGAGGCTTATAATAACAATGAAAGTCTTATTAGGGTTTAGTTTGATAATATATATATATTTTGAAATAGTAAATCTGATTACAAATGTTTATCAACTTGTTGCCAGTTAGATACAAGAAAAGTCCAAAATTTCTCTTTGTTCTGTAGATTATGAGATTAAAGATTGCGTAATCACTTTTTTTGCCCGTCAAAATCGGATCTTTCCCGACGAAGACTACTTTATTATTAAGTTATTTATTTATTTTTTAAAAAATCATAAATTTATGTGTACATATACTACTACTATTTTATTAATAATTTATTTCATAAGACTAATCCTTATACATTATAATAATTGCATTATAGAAATCTGTTTTAAAATGTTAAAAAATTATTTGAAAAGCACCGGCCAAACGGGCTCGGGATATGTTGTCTTAGCATATGCAACATGTATTTGAGACTTTTATTGTTAAAAATAAAAGTCCGATTCAATTTATCTATTATATATACGGTGTTGATTATACGTAGTGTAATTAGATATATTATATTTACTTAAATATTACTAACACCGGAGCTAATATCAATATTGGTGTGGAATCATGCATGTGTTTGGTGTATGTATAGATTAATTTATGTAGGGAGAAGCTAAGCAAATTAATTAGCTAATTAAATATGGCTGCTTGTATATTATATAATATATATTATATTCGTCAACTGTACTGCCAATCAAGTGTACATATATTTATACATATATATAATAATATATGCATTGGTCAACTATATATGTGCTGTATCGCGGCCTAGTTGAAATTTGTAAGGCCCAACCTAATTATAATTGTTCATGAGATTAATTATTCATTAATTATGTGCTGGACCTTCCTAATCTAATTTAATATATATATATATATATATATATATATTGCTCACTACAATGTTAAATATATTTTGAATCCACGTCTATAGTAACAACTTACCAAACCCTTGAAATATGCTAGGTTTCTTAGTGAAATAGCCTGGTCACGTTAATAGTTGTATTAGATAATGATTATATGGTATGTATATATGATCATTGACTAATTATTTTCTTTTAATTTGCATGGCTGTTGTTGGGATTGGGATTCCTTGTCAAATGAACGACAGATCCAAATGGTGAGTAATGATTACTTAATTATTGGATTAAATTAAAAGTAAAACGTTAATTATCATTTAATTTTTTTAACGGAATTAATTGATTCTTGAAACAGGTCCGATGTATTACAAAGGACTGTACCATCTTTTCTACCAATATAACCCGAAAGGGGCAATTTGGGGAAACATAGTATGGGCCCATTCAGTGTCCAAAGACATGATTAACTGGAAGCCGTTAAAGCCCGCAATCTACCCGTCAAAGCCCTTTGATCAATTTGGGACATGGTCGGGCTCGGCCACCATTCTCCCCGGTAACAAGCCCGCAATCTTGTACACCGGAATTGTGGACAACAAAGAAACCCAAGTCCAAAACTTGGCTTACCCAAAGGACTACAACGACCCGTACCTTCAAGAATGGGTGAAGCCCGACTTCAACCCGATTGTTATTGGGGATACACCCTGGATGAACATTTCGGCGTTTCGTGACCCAACCACGGCCTGGTTGGGCCGGGATGGTCATTGGCGGATGGTGGTGGGCTCCAAGAGAAAGCGAAGAGGGGTAGCTTATTTGTATAGGAGCAGAAACTTTGTGGATTGGGTTAAGGCAAAACACCCATTGCATTCAGCTCCCCAAACCGGAATGTGGGAGTGCCCGGATTTCTTCCCGGTTCAGGCTCAGGGGAAAACCGGTTTGGATACTTCGGTTCTTGGGGAGAATGTTAAGCATGTGTTGAAAGTTAGTCTTGATGAGACAAGGTATGAGTACTACACTGTGGGTGCATATTATCCGGATATAGACCGGTTCATTCCTGATAGGAATTCTGTTGATGGTTGGGCCGGGTTGAGGTTTGATTATGGCAACTTCTATGCATCCAAGACTTTCTTTGATCCCAGCAAGAACCGGAGGGTTCTTTGGGGCTGGTCTAATGAATCCGATGTTAGCCCGGATGATAGTGAAATAAAGGGTTGGTCTGGAGTTCAGGTACTATACATTGACAAAAGTGTCAGATCGACCCATTTTATGTGACATGTTATCGTATTATCTTTATTGTTATATACTAAAAACATTGTTCTTTGTCCCATGTTTAAACATAGGCTATTCCACGTAGAATCTGGCTTCATTCTAATGGAAAACAACTGGTGCAATGGCCAATTGAAGAACTGGAAACCATTAGAGAGAACAAAGTCGAACTGAACAATCACAAGCTGAACATTGGAGAGAATATTGAAGTTAAGGGAATCACAGCTGCACAGGTTTGTTCTTTACTTTTCTTGGTTTTTCATATTTGTAACAGTATTTTTTAGAGTAATAATCTGTTACAAAAAGGTTGATGTTTAACTAAATTAACAGCTAATAGTGATCAAATAAGTTAAAATTGGTTGATAAATTAACTATTTTACCAAACTGGCATGATATCTTATCTTAATATATATAAATTGTAGGCTGATGTTGAGGTGACTTTCTCCTTCAAAAGCTTAGACAAGGCAGAGCCATTTGACCCCACCTGGGCTGATTATGATGCACAGAAACTCTGTAGTGTAAGGGGTTCGACAGTCCAAGGTGGTCTGGGACCATTTGGGCTGGCAACCTTAGCTTCAACGAACTTGGAAGAGTTCACACCTGTTTCCTTCAGAGTGTTCAAGGACCAACACAAGTACAAAGTGCTCATGTGCTCAGATGCAACATTGTATGGTTATCTCATTATCAGATCGGTTTCACCTTTTATTATTTGACATGTTACATGCTCTAATATAATTAATTTTTTACAAATTACAGGTCGACTTTGAGGAATGAACCAAGAATGTACAAACCCTCATTTGCTGGATTTGTAGATGTAGATCTAGCTGTAGAGAAGAAACTGTCACTTAGGAGTCTGGTATGTGACGAATTTAGTCAAATCTTTCATTTTATCGACTATCTTCTTCTCTTTTAGCTGGTCGATCGTCATAACTAATATCGATGCTTGTAATTTTGCAGATTGATCATTCAGTAGTAGAGAGTTTTGGTGCAGGTGGAAAAACCTGCATTACATCTAGAGTTTATCCTACATTGGCAATCTATGATAATGCTCACTTGTTTGCATTCAACAATGGCACAGAGGCAATTACTATAGAGACTTTGAATGCATGGAGTATGGGTAATCCTAAAATGAACTAATTATAGTTGCAAAAGGGGGGACTTACTTTAATTTTTAGGCAGTGTGGATTTTATTTGTTATTCTTTTTTTTTTTTAATTTATAGATCAGAAGTAGCTTTATGTTTCGAAAATTTGTATTTCTTTTTTTTATTTATAGATCAGAAGTAGCTTTATGTTTCGAAAATTTGTACAAGGTTTTTATAATATACAGTTATATAGAAGTACGTATATTCGATTGCCAGCAGATTTGCTTTTCATTTATGTGATTGCCAACAATATCAAAGTGTTCTATTTCCTCTATTTCTTCTCAATGCCGGACGAAGTATATGCGGGTGCGTATAAAGAATCTATCCACTTTGAGTATAATTATTTTTTTTATTTTTTAAAATGTTGAATCCCCAACCTCAAAGGCCTGCCAAAGCATTTGGAATGATATAAATTCAATTGTTATATCGTGCACCAGGGTGCACAATGCAAAACGACGTCGTTTTTATAAGTATTACTTAATAATTCTGTTACAGTTTTTTTAACATTTGTGTTTATGTGTATTCTGTTTAGAGTTTCTGTGTATTATGTTAAGAGTTTATGTGTATCATGTAGGGAAAATGGCGAGATTGGTCCCTAAGTTATAATCATAGTGACAACTCAGTCATTGTGTTATTAACGTATCCATTTTTAGTCCCTGACAGAGTTAATTCTAGGGGTAAAGAAGTAAATTCCTTTAAAAAAAACTTGTATGATTGTATGTAATATAACCTATTTCCCCCTTTTACAAACTTAGCTAAAATACTTTAGCTCCAAACCTACAAAATCCCTAAATTGCTTATGTAATAAACGAAGAAACCCTACTCCCGTTTTTTGAAAAATCAAATTTCAATATTTCAATTCTATTTATTAAAAAAAAAAAACTTAAATGACAATTTTTTGACAAATACAAAAATTTAATTTACTCATAACATGGACAAGTTTAGTATCTTTTCCCTGGATTAGCCTAACTCTATGACATTTTAATGGGTAATAAATCACCACATTTACATCCAAAATTATCTCCAAATTTGGATAAAGTTGAAATACTACAACTAAGAGATGATATCCTATAATTAATGTAGTTCATCAATACGGAGAATATTGATTATTTATTTAAACATATAAATTAGAGAAACGAAATTAATACATGTGAATCAGCTTGAAAATGGACGAATTTGAGATTTTAGAGCTTGGGGAAGAAAAGACCTTCGATTGTAGGTATAAGAAGAAAAGAGTGATTGTTCCATAATGAGTTTCGACATAAGAAGAGGATTATAATTTAAAATTTCTATTTTACCCATCAATTATTAAATTGTTTTTAATTTTTCTGTTAGCAGCAGACAGTATATTAATGCTGGGGACCAAATTCGCCACTCCGCTCATAACTGAGAGACTAAACTCGGTGACAGTCATAACTTAGGGACTGAGTCGAAACTTGGTTATAACTCAGGGGCTAAAGATGCAATTTTCCATATTATGTATTATGTTAGATTATGTGTATTATGTTAGGAGTTTATGTGTATTCTACTATAGAATTTTGTACATACAAAATAAAGGATTTTTTTTTTAGGAGTTAACGGCATAAACGGGAAATAGAATTTTTAAAATAAAAAAATAAAAATAAAAATATAAAAACGACGTCGTTTTGGGCCATAGCGCACAATGCATTGTGCACCCTGGTGCACGATCTCTATTTGCCATGTAAATCACGGTGACTCAATGACTCAGTAGACAAGGCCAAATGGCGGTGCGTACAAGGGATCTGCCCACTTTAATTTAGACATAATCCCCACTGCCCCGTATGGCAAAACCTATTTCCTCTATTTAAGTACTACCTAGATTGCCAAGTACCTATTTCCTCTATTTCAATACTACCTAGACTACCAACAATCTTCGAATTTCATTTCTATACTTCCTAAATTGCCAACAATTTCAAATTCCATTACTAGATTACCAACAATATTCAAATTTCATTTATGTACTAACTAAACTGTCATCACTTCCAAATTCCATTTCAAGTATGCAAATCCTGGTATTATTTCTTCCATAACCACATGTTTAGAAGCCTAAATATTGCATTGGTGAAACATTAACAATCTTAGTTCTATTGCTTGTGAGAGTTAAGTAGAGATGGTATGACCTAATCAAAGTAAATATTAGTCTAATAAACAAAAATATGACATTAAACAAAGACAAGTAAAGATTAGTTGTAATATGAAACAACTCCATCATCTTACATACTACTACCAAAAGTTGGTAAAATTGACAACCACAAGTGCCTCTTGGCTACAAAATGTTTAAACACCCGAAATAAAGAACGAAAGCGAAACAAAAATGACCGGACTTGAGGGTTCGAAACATGGTGGTGAGTGCACAAGTATAACGAAGGAATCACAGCCTTCTTCCCCTTCTTCCACCCTTTCTACGAGTGCTATCGGTGGGAATTGGAGTAACATCCTCTATACGGCCAATCTTCATGCCTGACCGAGCAAGGGCTCTGAGAGCAGACTGAGCACCTGGACCGGGAGTCTTGGTCTTGTTACCACCTGTAGCTCGAAGCTTAATGTGAAGAGCTGTAATCCCGAGCTCCTGCAATATTATCAACTGCTAAGTCAGTCTCCAAAGCAGACATAAAAGGATGAAATCTTATAAGAAAAAAAATAAAATATATTTCATTGTTATATCACGACTTGAAACAATGTTTACTAGCACTTAACATACATAATAACTGTTTAAACTGAGGCTAGAAAGACAAAGTTACGTAAAGAGAGCCTACAGTTCAACACATTAAAAAAGGAACAACAGGCTACCTTGCATCGTTGAGACACATCTTGTGCTGCAAGCATAGCTGCATATGGAGAAGATTCATCTCTGTCAGCCTTGACCTTCATTCCACCTGCAGTCAAGGATCATTACCCACGAAATTATTTAAAGGATAGAAGAGTATATTAGACAATTAAGATGACGAATGGATTATAAGTTTAGTTTTAAAAGCCTAAGAGTAACTTGTGCCAGAATCATATCTGTAAGGTTAGTTTTAGAATGCAAAAAGGGGTGTTGGCAAAATTGACTAAATCAAAAAACCATAAATGGAACAATAACAGTAGTAAAGAAACGAACAAAAGATGTTCCCAACATACCAGTGATGCGAACCAGTGTTTCCCGGCCAGACAAATCAGTAACGTGCTGGAATGAAAAACAAGAAAACACTGTAAGCTCAGAGTTTGAGCATAATCGGCTTTACTGTTTCTAATTTTTATTCTTCTAAAAATTATAACGAACGACTATCACAATTAGGAGCACAAGACAGAACAATACTTACAATGAATGTGTCATTGAATGATGCAAAAATGTGGGCAACACCAAACACCAATTCCCCTTCCCTAATGGCAGGTCCAAGGGTCACATTCTCCTCCTTGGGCTCTCTGGTCTTTCTCCTTGACTACAAGAAGAAAGGCACACAGTCACTACACATCCTTAGCATTAATCATAATAAAATAGAATTATGCTTCACATGAACATCAACCATCAATTTTGAAGTCTCAATTACTACAAACAATACACAACTTTCAAATAAATCAGCTCAAACGATCCACATTAAACTACAGTTGCTAACTACAAAAGCTCCGAGGTAACATGAAATTCAAGAAGATTATAACAAAACCATAAATGGCTTAATAAAACCACATTGCCGTTTAATACTTGGGCCCATATCCCTAAACAAATTCCTATTAATCGGAAATACAGAACATATATAGCATTCAACTTACATATCACTGATAAAGTTCAAGTTCTTAAGAGAAATTTCTATGAATCTCATAATAAAATAGAATTATGTTTCACACGAATATCAACCATCAATTTTGAAGTCTCAATTACTAGAAACTATATCTAACTTTCAAATAAATCAGCTCAAAAAAATCCCCATTAAACTACAGTTGCCAACTACATAAGCTCCGAGGCAAAACGAAATTCGAGACGACAAGCATAAAATCGCATTGCCCTTTACTAAATTAGCCGATATCCGTTAAAATTTTCCTATTAATCAGAAATACAGAACAAACTATCCCATTCAACTTACATATCACTGATAAAGTTGGAATTTTTAAGAGAAATTTCTATGAATCTCGCAATATGAACCATAGATCACAGTAGAACATTGCACGGGCAAGTTGAAGATGTAGAGCAGAGTGATTACCATGGCTTCAGGTGGGTGGAAGAGAGCTGTAGAAGCTGAGCTGCTGTTGAGGCTGAAGAACCCTAGCGATGTAAGCAGAAGAGAAATGTCATGTTTGCTGCATCGTTTATATAGCTAGGTTTGGGAACGAGGGGATATACCGAAACTACCCCTGGACTTCTTATTTGTGTGCCAATGCCCAATGGGTTATGGGTCCAATGATTAAAATCAAAATCTGAAAGCTTAGATATAAATAATTAGCCCATTTACCTTATTTTCTTTTTAATAATCATAAGGATGAAAATTCCATAAATTAAAATCAAAAAGTCTATATTGTTTCACGAACCATTTAATTAGGGATAGCAACTAGGCAGAGACGGGAAATATACTCTATATTTTTGTTCTTGAAATTTCGTTTTCGTCCCATTTCAGTCGGGAATTGAAAATAGTCCTCATTCTGGGGGAGAGAGATATCCACTGATAGTGAATTACATACATTCCCAGTCTCCGTTCCTATTCCCTTGAAAATTTTCTCCATTCCTATTGAGGCAAAGATCCAAAATTTCTGTTGAGAAAAAGACAAATTGTTATCCCTACATTTAAGAGATTTGTCTTGTGTCATCTATTCTTACCTCTGAATAGCTATTTTTATAATAAATCAATTGCTCTATTATGCTCGCAATAAACATAACTTAGCACTATACAATATATAGATCAAGCAACCTATGATTTACTATATGTCTATATCATAGAAAACATTTGAAAAGAGAAACTAAGAAAAAGAATACAAGGAAAAACAGGGTGACAAATGTAGAATTCCAGCTCCAAAAACCATCATCTTCATCCTCATATGGATCATTATCACCCCAATGCAAAGCTCCACTATTACAGTCATTCCTTTCTTGAGCAAAGCTTCTTCCATTTTCAGCCAACGCAATATGCTCCAAAATGTGCGGGAAAACCTTCTTGTCAGCATCTTCTCCGATCAAGAGATCAGAATGCCCAAACCCATCAACAACCACCCTTCCATGCCTGAACTCCGGCTGGTGCAACTTCATGTACTTGTTAGCAAGAAACGAGGTTTCGGGAGTCACGAGAAGAGCCCGGCCGCCGGAGATGTAAAGGGTATGCAACGCCATTCTTTCCGGGTGGATCAAGTACGAGTTGTTTCCTTCGGCGTCTACTATGTTGCCGGATTTGCAGATCTTTCTGAGGTGAGGAAAGGCCGCCATGGGAAGCGCCGGCAAGCTCACGTTGTTCAGCCAGGAATGCATGGTCTGGGTCACGTTGCCGTGCCAGAATGCGTTGCCGAAGATGCCGGAGAAGACTTCGCATTCATCGCAGCTGCATCTCTCGTAGCGTGGCAGGAATCTTGCTATTGATTTGAGGATAGTTTGTCTTTTGTTGATCTTTAAGGATTGGAACATGGGTAGGGTCTTGTTGTTGCCTAGAATCGCCATGGATATCTGCAGATTTTGAAGATAAAACATTAATTCGGGACAGGAGCGGAGTCAGGATTGAATAATGCCGTTTGACCAACTACGATTGAAGTACTATAATATTTCAAAATAATCATGGAGTCAGGATTGTCATGTCCGGCGTGTATTGGGTAAACCTGGCACACTAATTGACAAAGGACTACTTTATCCCAATTAAGTTACTGACCGGGTATGCACTAAGTAATTCCCGCTTGTGACCTGGACGACAAAGGATCAAGGTGACCCTAGTCGACAAAGGACCACAAAAGATAAATCAGCCTAGTTGCATTGTGACCTAACTGACCAAGAACCAGGTAAATTAAACCAATTTAGGTTACCCTTAATTGATCGGTTCAAACCAAGAAAGCCAATAAGTCCAAATCAATAGCTTGACTAACTTAACTAGCCTGCCTTCGAAAATTATCCATTTGTGATCAAAAGAGAGCTTACAGGGATGAGAGGAAGCCACATTTTGACAAGTGAAGATGTGGTTATCTTGAAGAACATGGAAGAATTGGTGCAAGAGAGGGAAGCTATTTGCTTGGCAGAAACATGGCCTCCCATTACTGCAATATGAAAGGCTAGGCCTCCAATACAATGTGCTACAACATGTATCTTTATTGATGCCCCATGCAACTCCAAGATTGTATCAATTACTGCAAAAATGGCTTCTGTGAATTCATTATATTCACCAATGATTAACTTGAAAAAGCAAGTGCAAATTATATGTATATATACCAGAAGGTATGTCGAATCTGCCAATGTCTTCAATGGAGAAGCTGTTTGAAGAGTTTAAAGGGTGCACCCTTGATTGCAGAAGCCACATTTCATGCCCTTCTTGAAGCAAAGTCCTTACAAGATCATTTGGTTCAGTTGGTAACCAGAAACTTTCAGTGGAGTAGCCATTGATTAGGAGGACTGGATACAGTTTTCTCCCTTCTTCAAGCCCCCACTCACTTTGATAACACTTCCACTGTCTACAACTGATGATAAATCCATCTTCTGCATCATACAAATGAGTTAAAATTGTTCTAATCTAACGACAACCCAACCAAGTTGGTCAGACTGTTAGTGGGAGCGGCCTATTGGTCTTTTTGGTTTGAACCGGTCAGTTATGGACAACCTAGACTGGTTTAACTCCTTGTGGTCGTTTGCTGGCCTAGTGGACACTCTCGGGTAATGACTCAAAAAAAAAAAAAAAAAGTGTTCTGATCTTGTGTGTATGAGTTTACCTGTTCTAATCTTGTGGAGGGTACTTGTAGGATACTGCCTTTCAGGCAGTTCTGATGCTGCCAAGATGTTTCGATTTCGTCGTGGAATTTGCAGGATGTATGTTCTTAACAAAGATTGCAAGAAAGCAGATAAGAACATCAATCTGCTGTTACCCTTCACAGAAATGAGAGTCTTTAGGAATCCCATGAAGGAAATACGCAGCTTTCCTTTTAGAGCCATCATTTCTTGATTTTCTTCCATGGAAGCACTGTCTGAAATCTTTCTGAATGTTACATGCATGGTGGTGGACTCTTTCCATGCATACAATCCCAGCATGTAAGGATTCATTACTTTCTTTCCTTCAAGAACATACCTGCAGGTAATGATAAATTAAAAGGGCTTTGATTTTTGTTAAAATTCTCAGATAGGGAAAGTCTGTCAGGGAATCTAACCTTGAACCAGAAGAAGCTCCAAGGAGAAGGTGATAATGCATGTACTGAGTGTATGGAGTTCTTGGATCAGTTCCACATAAATCCACTTCTCCATGTATTACATACATTCTGTCCATTTCAACAGCTCTGAATTCTATGTACCCACCGGCTTTTCCTCGCGAAAAACCATGATGTTTTGAGCCAGCAGCACAATCTACCCTGAGTTTAAGAAATGCAGAACAAGGCATACCTGCAATCTGTCCTGTCATGGTTTCCTTAATGTCCACAGAGGATGTTTTAGCACAGTGTCCATAGTTTGAGTCTGGTTTAGTGACCCAAAACTGATCAGACAATTCGGCTTCTTTCTCAGATTGGTACCCGAGAGCATCCCGAACTAAGTCCTTGCTCACACGTTCCGCGATTGTGGCAATGGTGAGGCATGGATTGACACCAACCGAGCAAGGGATTAAGGATGCATCACAGACGTAAAGGCCACGATGCACAGTTTCTGCAGATTTGGCGTCGAAAACTTGACCATTTCGGTTGCAGACACCACCCGAGGCATCTGCTGCAGCATTGCAGCCTCCTAAAAGATGCACTGATGTGCTCCTGAACCTTGACATGAACAGACACCCTCCTAGCTTCTTCGTGATCTTGTGTAGAGCTTCGATCTTTCGGGGTAGTAGAGGGTCTCGGGGGGATCTGAAACAGATGGATTCCGTCTCTTTCTTGAAACCGATTTCCCCATCACTTTCGTCACACCCCATCACATTCAGAACCATTTCCTGGCTTTCCTTTAGTCCAAGAAAATGTTGTAAGTTCTCTTTGATGCAGTAAAGGAGCCAGTTTCGAGATGGCCATATATACGTTGTGATTCCTTTAAACAGCCCGCTTGGATAAGCATATGGCACAACGGCACTCTGCAAGAAACATTATAGGCCCGTTTACTAACTGGAGAATTCGAAAACAGAAAACATAAAACAGAAAACAGATAACAGATGTTTTGGGCTTTTAGCTATGCTATAATGAGTTAACCTGTATAGTGAACCCCAAAGAAGAAATGTATGATGAAGAAATGGATGGCCCGGGGCGATCTTTAAAAGGTACACTGGAAAAATTCTTGCTGCTCAAGCCACGAGCATTTAAAGGCGCGGAGCTTCCAGCCAGGAAAGCCACATTGTTGCCATTGCAACTCAGCCCCGATCCAAGCCTCTCCGAGAACTTTAAGCCTCGGGCTTGGGACCTGAAAAGTATCTTCGTTGTGCCAAAAACTCCAGCTATAGAATGACATAAAAAAGTACAAAATAAGAAAATTATGGTCAGTTTTATGTGCATTGGTGTTGTGTTCCCAGAAAGTGTATACCTGAAAGTATAACGAAATCGGATGTTATGTAGTTGTAATCATCTAGGAAGACAAGCCACCTTCTTTTCCTTGTTCTGTCAGTCATATGTTGTCTCACAATAAACTGAACTTCAGATTCTGTTTTTATAGTACATCCTGCCTGCAATTCATCTGTCATCATTCTTGAACAGCTACTAAACATTTACCTAGTACTAAACAAACCATGCCTACCTGGACAGCTGAGACCAGATAGGTCTTATCAGTGGAATTCTTGGCACCAAATGGACACCCCGCGAGACAATTCCCACAGGCAAGGCAGGTGCCCATTCCTCGAGGCGTTTTTGAGTCTTCCATGTCGAAGTTCACGCTAAGTTTCAATGGAGGAGCGTCGGAGCTGCTGTCACAGCACTCGGGGAGCACTTGATCCATGACTTTCGTGGTCTGGAACTTGGCGGGGATCGTCTGTATCCTTAGCATGGCTGCAGCAGACGCTTGACAGAACTCCCAATCGGTCTCCCATTCCTTAGGCCATTTCGGGTTTCTTCGTGTTCTTGAAGGGGTTGGTAGCATCACTCCTGCATTCACAAGTGACCCTCCACCTAGCCCACAGGCCACTGCTGCCAGACAGTCTTGTTCTTGATGAATCTGACACATTCATAGTCCAGTTAATTGAAACATGTGATAGTTGGATTGCACATTAATGGTTATATGTTCAATACAGTTCAAGGATGTCTGAAACCTCTGACATGAAACCTAGGAAACCATAAAGAGGATTGAGAAAGATAACCTGAAACAAAGCATCTTTTGGGCCAATCTTGACTCCTCCTTTCTCCACCCTGACAGATGAAAGTATCTTCCAACTATCCCTGGGAAAGTCCTGAGCTTCATATCTTCTTCCTTTCTCAAGCAGGCACACTTTGAAACCCGCCATCGAAAGGCGAAACGCAGCAACAGAACCTCCATATCCAGAACCAACAACCACAGCATCATAGCCCTCACCACTTTCTGATGAGCTTGTTTTCTCCATTCTTCCACAACTTATGATTGTGAGTGATTAAACAATACTGTGTTATAACAATGATCCACTCAAAACCTGACAAACAAATAACGTTGTCTTTAAGTACAATCAGCTGTGTCAATGTTTTCTGTAATTTTCAGTAACAACAGCCGAATGATTTCACAAGATTAGATAACAGATTAGCATATCAGCATCTTCCTTGTTATGCGCTCCTTCCACAAAGAACAGTATGGTGTAAATTAAATAGGAAAATTATACAATTCTTGATTGTCATTATTAGCAAAGACAAGACCAAAACAACAACGACAACAACAACAAACGAAACTTTGGTTGCATGCAATCTGCAAATAACCCAAGATTTTTGAGTTACCAGGAAAACCCGGCCACTATTAGATGGTCTGTATTAGGTAAGCTAAGACATCCCAGAAAACTCAGAAGAACTATGCTCAATCAGAACTTGCTAAAGTCAATTCAATTATTGTAACTATTAATATCATGTTGTAGATTATGGCTGTTAGTTGTTCCTGTCTCCGTTGACACATTCAATTCATGTGTATCTTCCTTGACTTAGTCCCATAATTATTCATGTTCTAAAATTTATAATTAATTAATTTTTAATATATTGACCTCCGTTAAACTAATAGAAATTTAAAAATGTAATGAGATTGAAGTTGATAATAATCTACGTTTTTTGCCACTAAAACTAGGAGTTGGCCGGACTGATAAAAATAACAAAATTTATTACATGTTTTCACTTCATTAACTACCGAAGAATAAAAAATATTGACGTTCCAAATCCATTATTACTCCTAAGCATTTTTAAATCCTCATTCATACATTTACATTGAACATGTAAATGCTCAAACGTTGCACGGTCAACAAATGGACATGTGAATAGCTGAAATGTTAGACTTGTGATGATGAATAAATGAGAAGTTTTGTTATTAAATTGTAGAGAATTATAAAATGTAGTAGATCGAAATTCAACAATGAAGGGTATTTTATTTGATTGATTGATAGAAATTAGTATATAATTAAGGTTATGAATTTTTTTATTACCTATATATGGCCATGCATAGTATGTGATGGACTGGGTACACGAAACGTGAAAAATTAATTATTAAATATTATTAAAACTATGATTTTGTGTCGCCCTTTCCATGTAGGACAATTCTATCATCATCGTATTACCAAAACGGCAAAACCCCATAAATTTTATTATTCAATTTGGATTTACTTTATTAATTCATAATATAATCAATAATTAATCATCTACTATAAAATAGTCATACGCATTGCAAAACAAAATATGACTACTAATTTTTGCCCGGATAAAACGTCGTCGTTTTTTACACCATTAACAAGCCTAAAATAAAGTGTCTCGAATCCCTTTATCTTGGGAAGTTTAAACAATCGCCTATAAAGAATGTGATGGAAAGGATGGTGGACATGTTAAGAGGTGTTTGTTTGATGAGTTGTCTTCTACACAGAGTTTTTAAAAAGACTAGAAATACAATTCTGAAAGTTGAGAAGTTACATTGAGATTGTAAAATAATTAATTCCAGTAATGGCCCCCTGAGTATGATGATTTTTCAGATTTAGTCCTAGACTTTTAATTTGGACAATTTAACCCCCGTCAATTAAATTTTTTTCAATTGAGGTCCTTCCGTCAATTGTTGGTTAAGTGAGCGTCAATTTCAGGGACAAATGAGTACTTTTACTTACTAAGCGTATTTCTCATCTTCATTTCACCGTATATACGTGAAATATGCTTAGACAATTTCCTTTTGATCCCAAAGAGCCTGAGTTGATGGGGTCGGATAAGAACCCTCCAGCAATCGGACCGGAAAAGAATCCGCCCACAATAGGACCGGAGCCGAAGGCTGACACCCCGGGAATTGGGCCGGATCGGTTATGGAGTTCCGAGGAAGTGGGTGCAAAGGGATGGAGGAGAAAAACTGGGAGCTCTCAAAAGCCGAAGCCTTTTCGTGGTAGGGGTCGAGGTCGACGAGGGCGGTGGAGAGAGGGGTGGAGGTGTTGGCGGAGATGGAGGCGCCGGAAATATTGTGAAACGTCGTCGTCATGGAGCTGTTGTTGGTGATGGTGGTGGTGGCGGAAGAGCAAGAGTTGTCGGAGGAGAAAGGTTGTGTCTTGGAAGACAGGTCTGGCTTGATAGCGATGTCGTGCCGCCGCCAGGATATTTCTCCGGCATCCCCGGCGAAGCCCCCATTTCTCCAAAAACCCAGATCAAAAAATCCAAATTAAAATTTTAACCAAAAAAACAACTTCTACTGTTGATTGTTGCTCATTGAACGACACCCAACAGAAGATTGAATCTTTAAGAGAAGTTGACCATTTAGCCTCTATATATGAATGTGTATGACAGTAGGTCTAGCCTCTGTGGTTCATGTTCAGTTGAGTCACAATGATTTACATCCTCCCAAATGCTCTGTCGGGCCGGAGTGTGGGAACCCTTAGGGTTGGGGTTCAACCTTTTGGAAGAATGAATGTGTATGACAGGTTGACGACGATGTCGTGCCGCCGCCAGGATATTTCTCCAGCATCCCCGGCGAAGCAGAAGTTCAGTCTTTCGATTCCGTTACCCATTTCTCCAAAAACCTAGATAAAAAAAATCCAAAATTTTAACCCAAAAAAAAAACAAACAACAAAAAAAAAACAAACAACTTCTACTGTTGATTGCTGCTCATTGAACAACACCCAACAGAAGATTAAATCTAAAGATTGAATCTTTAAGAGAAGTTGACCATTTAGCCTCTATATATGAATGTGTGTGTGTATACATATATATATATATATATATATATATATATATATATATATAATATATATATATATATATATATATATATATATATATATATATATATATATATATATCCGGTATAATTTCACGTATATATGGTGGAATGAAGAGGAGAAATACGCTAAGTACAAGTACTCATTTGTCCCTGAAATTGACGCTCACTTAACCAACAATTGACGGAAGGACCTCAATTGGAAAAAATTTAATAAACGAGGATTTAAATTGTCCAAATTAAAAGTCTAGAATTAAATCTGGAAAATCATCATAATCGGAGGACCATTGCTGGAATTAACTTGATTGTAAAATTAATGTTTGAGTGATTGCTATTCTATACATTTATGCCTTCGGGCATTAATCTTTTTTTTTTTGTATGCTGGTTGGTTGAGGTATGAAGGAATAATAAGATTTTAGTAGTGGAAAATAGTATTTTAAAAATTCAAATATTAAATTTTCATAGACCCTCTCCTATGTGGGAGATCATGAGATCAAATTTTAGTGAGGCGTTGTTGACTCTGTGTACTTCACTAGGTTGAGAAAGTATGTATGAACAGATACTACTATATAGAGAAAATTTCAATTTTGGTCCACTGGCTATTGGAGGTGTGTTAATTACAACACTTGACTTTCAAAAATGTCAATTTAATACATTGACTATGCAATTTCTATCAATTTTTATCACGCCAGCCAATTTACCGGCAAAATCTCACCGAAAAATTTTAATAGGTCAAATAATGAGAATATTTTAGTCATCTTACTCATTTTCTTTTTTCTTTGATGATCTTCTCCCCATTTCCGGCGACGAACAACCTACTACTACCTCTCCGCCGACCTCACGCAACTCCATCTTCTCCAACACCCATGGTGGATTAGAACATACCTCGTTCATCCCAATCTGCCCGGTGAAGTGTTCGCGGTCCATCTTCTCCAACTTCGTCTTCTTGGCTATGGACTCCGAGGTTTCTGGAACGCGACATTAGAGAATTTGAGCCGAAGGAATTGAAGTATGGAAAGCGTAGTAAACCAGATGCATGAATGCAAAGTAGAAGTAGTGAGAGAAATGAGTGAAGTGCATAAATTTAATGATGAAGAAATGAATGTGTACGTGAAACAATGATACATACACTGGGAGTTTGCATCATATGAGGGCATGAAGCAGAAGCAGCACCGTCGCCGCCGGAGCCTCCATTAATGTGTGTGCTTAGTGGCAGTGGCAATGGTCTTTGCTGCCTCCTACGAAGATGGATTGCGTGAGGCCGGCGGAGAGGTACTAGCATGTTGTTCATCGCGGGAAATAGGGAGAAGTTCATCGGAGAAGAAAGAAAATGAGTAAAATGACTAAAATATCTTCATTATTTGATTTATTAAATTTTTCCGGTGAAATTGGACCGATAATTTAGCCAGCGTGACCAAAATTGATATAAATTACATAATCAAGGTACTAAATTAACATTTTTAAAAGTCAAGCGTTGCAATTAAAACAATTCCAATAGACAGTAGACCAAAATTAAAATTTTTTACTATGTAATAGAGTCATTAAAAAATAAATAAATAAATAAAAATTCCATGGCCCACTAAGGCCGTCGCCACGTTGGCCCCTAGACCACATATGTCATCATCTCAATCCGCCTCTTGTTTCTCTATACGTTTTGTCACAGGAAACAATTGAAGTCGCGAGGATTGTACGCCGTCGAGTCGCATGCGGGCCCCACTCAATCCAGCGGTAAGCGCTGTAGACACGTGCAGGCCATGCGTACAAGCGCGGGGGCCACAGAGACAGGGTGCTTTAAAAAAGGGGGTGCATTGCGTAATTCGGTGCTTACTCGCTGTACACAATTAATTCTGTGGGTACAAGTCTTCTTGTTCTTCCCGGTTTCTCAGTTTCACTGTATGGACCAAAACGCCGTCGTAAACTTCCGGCACGGCCACGGCCGATCCACCTCGACGGATCGGTTTCTCGGCGTGTTTTCGCCGCCGAAGGTGGAATCTGCTATTGGCGGCGGAGGGGAATCGGATGCATCCTTGGGCGGCGATGAGCTGAACGAAGACGATGTGCTTTGGACTGGACGAGACTTTACGGAGCCTCAACCTCGCTCCAATTCAGGCTCTCTCAGCACTCCTCGGCAGGCGTTTAAGAAGCCGGAGAATTTTGGAATCCTCGCCGCATTGCCGGAGCAGCAGCGGAAAGGTGGGCGTCCGGTTATCTATCAAAAGCACGCTACGACGTCGTTTTCGCGGGATTTCCCTTCAATTCCCAAGCCCGCGGTGGACAGGGAGCAGAGCTATGGCTACAATCGGAACTTCTCGCAATCAATGCCGGCTACGAAGTTCCAGCACTCGGCTCCGATGAAAGTGCCGATGATGCCGAAGAAGGCGCCGAGGAACGGCGAGCTTGCTGATGTGGACATTGACGACGACGACGATGCCGATGATGAAATGCTGCCACCGCATGAGATCGTGGCGCGAGGATCGGCTAGGTCTCCGAAAACCACTTTCTCAGTACTGGAAGGAGTCGGCAGAACCCTCAAGGGGAGGGATCTTCGTCAGGTTCGCAATGCGGTTTTTCGTCAAACAGGTTTCATCGACTGAGAACAATTGAGACTGAACTCAAATTTTAGTCAAAGTCTGTGATTTTGCTCTTCCTTTTGACTGTGAAGTTAACAAGTTTTCCAGATAGCTTTCAGTCATGAAGTCGATTCCCCCCAATTATAGTCAAATATAGTAGTATATGGAAATTTCATTTTTTTTGTCTGTGTTTATGATTCTTATATTGTTGATTTTTTCTTGAAGATATTACATTGAAAATTTTGGTAAAACTTCCAGTATTGAACAGGAGAATTACAGACAGCTTTTGGGAGAAGATTCAATTCAAAGAAACTGTACATATTGGTGCAGTTATAACCTGTCTTCTTCATTTACTGCCTGAGATCAATTCATTTATTTGAATTGATCTTTTTCGTACTAATGTTTTGTACTTCTTGTATGCTATTTTGGTAGTGGGGGTGATGCATTTGCATCCAAGCATTGAACTTTACAGGCATGGGACAACCATGGGAATTGTCTTTTAGGCGTTCTTTTATTGACCTTCTTAATTTGAGCTAGTTTGTGCCGGATAGCAGCTATTAGTCTCCTTAGTTTCAACTGATACATCACATTAGTTTGTGCTGGATAGCAGCTATTAGTCTTCTTAGTTTCGACTCGAAAATTTTCTATCATTAGTTCTCTTAGTTTGAATCAGACAAGGCTTCTTATTAGTTCTCTTGTTTGAATCAAATAAGTTCTTAGTTTTCTTAGTTTGAGGACACACCTTTGGCAAATGGAATTATCTTAACCTTTGGTAGGTGGAGGACATTGTCAAAAGATCTTATTACTTGCTATCGCTCTTATCCTTGGTGGTTTGCATTATATTAACATCAATTGTCTTTATAGAATCCAATGTAATCAATCATAAATATTAATAATTATTATTTTCATTACAAAATCAAATGTAATCAAACATTAATATTGATAATTATTATTTCCAATTATACCATATCACCAAACATGTAAAATGCTTTAAATAAAATCTATTATAATTACCAAATATTTGATTTTCATTTTAATTTTGACCTAGAAACAACTTGTCTTTCAACAATATGATCAGTCATGTCGATGATCCTTTCAAAAAGGATAAAATCACGAGTAAATTCACTCAAATTTTTTAAATATCATTCAAAATCAAATGGAAAGAAGACTCTACCCTAATATGATTAATGCCTTGAACCACGGAATCTGTCCTAATTGAATATTATCCATGTTCATATCGTTTATCCATTTCAAAGCTTCGTTGATAACAAGTGCTTCAGCCTCTCTAGGAGAGAAGACACCACTCCATTGAATACCTTTAGCAGCAATGAAGTTCACATTCTCGTCTCTAGTCACACTGCAAATCCCATTTTAGCATTGTCTTTGTCAATTGCAGCATCAACATTAAGCTTTAAGAGCCCTTCCTCTCAGGTTTAATCCATTTCTCCTGGTCACTGCTGCAATCCAGACGATCACTGTATCTGCAAAATTAATTACTTCTTTGGTTCCAGATTTCCCAGCAAGTCATAACCATAATGCCGACCCGCTCTAGAGCAGATCTATCACCACAGTACTAGCCTTGATTCCCACATGAAATCAGGAAATGTGGGTATCTATCATATTATATAATCCATTAATTTTAGTTGGAATTATTGTTCTTTGACAAATTTTTTATCACACCTACCCCACTATCTAAATCATGTTCCCTACTTGTATAGTAGCTTTGATTATGAATTTCCTTTTCATTGATTTCCAAAAAAAAAAGCTCTAACCGCTATTGGGCTCTGGATAACACTGCTTCACCAACTCAACTAGAATTGCCTTGATCGAATTTCTTTAAATTTTCAAAATTCTTTTCGTCTCACCACACCTCTTTATTCACTTAATTACATTAAACACAATGTCTCTTCAATTATCATTCACAATGTTTAATATATAAAATGAGACCAAGAAAATATATATATATATATATATATATATATATATATATATATATAATTTTTTTAAAATGGGAATGAAAAGAGAGGGATGAATGGTCAGAATATCAATAAGCGGTTTGTGTAATGCTCAGTAGAGATTTCTCACTTCGCACACAATCTGATTTTCATCATTCCAATTTCAAATCACCTCAATGTATAATTAACAAAATCAATGAAATTAAAACACCAAAAAAAAAGGTCTAATCGTTCAACACAAACGTAGGCAAGTCAGAATATCAATAAGCCTCGTAAGTTATGCTCATAGAGGAATTCTCCCCCTCACGCATCTAATCGCATCATCATCCTTGCCTACTACGCTCAAACACCAAACCTAAATCCACATTTTCATTAATAAATAAATGTTCTCCCACCTTAAAATGAGGCGGTTCTGACGAGCATTTTGGTCTCGTTAATAAGATCCAAAAATGGCGAACTACCTCAGAGAAATAAGATGGGAGCAAAACAGGAAAAATCTTCATAGGAAAACCCTAAGGAGACTTCCCAGCATAATCCACAACCATATATACATACGATTGCGAATTTATGCTTCAAGTGTTGATATATCGCAGCAATGACTCAAAACGCTTCCATTGATGATGGTGGAAGGCGATCTCAAGGGCTGCGAAACAGGGGAATTGGATGCTACATCAGAAATACAGAACAAGTTTAATCTATTCTTACGAAGAATTCACAGTGAAGAGTGGAGAAGACGGAGAATTGAATAAACCCTAGCTAATATGGTGTGTATATATAGGCTGCCAGGAGTCCGGAATAAAGGGCCCATTGGACAGTTTCATGGGCTTAATCTGTAGAAGGCCCATGTCCAAGAATATGGAGTTTCCATGCATTTTCTTTTCTTTTAGATCTATGGGCCGCATCTGTAGAAGGCCCATGTCCTAGATAATACTTATTTTTCGGATCACTTTCATAAATTTGAAAGGCAATGATAAAACTTAGAGTGTGTTTGGTTCGAACATGGAATTAAATATTTGGTAATTAAAATGAATTTTGGTGAAATAGGAAGGATAATGTTGAATTAAAGAATGATACGTGATTTAAAATATGTAACGAGTTTTGTAATTATTGGGGGTAATAAAATTTTATAATTATATTTTAAAATAATGTCAATCAAACAATGTGTATAATTTTCATTCTCATTCCTTATATTTGACCCCATTACCAAACACCACCTTACTGTCCAACTCCCAAAGTGGTTGAAAGATCAAATTTCAAAACTTTTTAAAAGTTTTTTTTCTTCTTCTTTATATATTTGCTTCATTGGTTCTACTTCACATTCCTTCAATAATTCTGGTCACTTTCGAAATGTGGTCCATTATCGGCTCAAAAATTCTGTATTGACAATGAATTGGCAACCATCCCAAATTTTGCACTCTTGTTAACCTCTTTAATATAATATTTTTATTTACAAAAGAGAAAAAAATATATCTCTATTATTTTTCTTGACACATTAATCGGTCATGAAATACGGCACACAATTCAACATCATTATTATTACATTTTTTTTGAACTTTAATGTATTAATGAGAGCATGGATGATGCAATTGGGGATACATATACAAGTCAATTCGAGCATTTGTCAATGTCTATTTATCCGAAATTGAGACAGAAATTAAGGAAAAGGTGGGACGGTTCTTTGGATCTTCTTGGCAAGTTGGGATTATACTTCCACTCATATGCGTAGCTTCTATTGATTGTGTTGCTGCGTAGTCCTACCAAATTCAATATATTATTTGTTTTGTATACAATCGGAGTGTGTGTATATAATCGGAGTTAATACCCAAAATGGCCATTGACTATAGTAATTTTTCTGAGTTTTTTGCACTTTTAGTCCCACGACTATAGTGGCACTGGCAGAATTGATCCACGACTTTTGAACCTTGCAATTTTAGTCCACGACTATTGATTTTTTTGCAAAAATGGTCATTCCGGCCACTTTTCCGTCAAAATTTCACCGGAAAAAAAAATTCTCCATTTTTAACCGGGTTAAAATTGACATTTTACTTATCTCAAAAAATTAAAAGAAAAAAATTGATATTTGACTACATACATTAACCCGGCTAAAAATAGAGAATTTTTTTTTTCCGGTGAAATTTTGACGGAAAAATGGCCGGAAGGACCATTTTTGCAAAAAAATCAATAGTCGTGGACTAAAGTTGCAAGGTTCAAAAGTCGTGGATCAATTCTGTCAGTACCACTATAGTCGTGGGACTAAAAGTGCAAAAAACTCTAATTTTTCTCAATTTCGTCCTAAACGGTTTTGGTGACCTAATGTAGTCCTAAACTTTTGTCTTTATGCTCAATTTAGTCATCCGTTTGTTATTTCGTCAAATTGGTGTTAAATAAAGGAACAATTCAGTAATCTCAATATTAATCTCTCTTTACTCTCAGTCATGTGAAGTGCAAAATCAATCGTTATGTTACGAATTACTCTCATAATTACTCCTAGACCTGCTAATCAAATTTTATGTTCACATATTTGGGAGTAATTCGTAAAAGAATGATAAATTTCGCACTTCGCAGGTCTAAGAGTAAAGAGATACCAATATTAAAATTACTGAATTATCCCTATATTTAACACAAAATGGACGGAATAACAAAGAGAGGACTAAATTAAGCAAAAACACAAAAATCTAGGACTACATTAGGTCACAAAAGTCGTTTATGACGAAATTGAGAAAAACCATTATAGTCAAGGACCATTTTGAGTATTAACTCTTTATTTATTTATAGGTTCCGAATCAGGTAAGGACGTGAGGACTAATCAATATCATCCATTTTGAGTGATCTAAAGGCTATGACAAAACAGAAATGGACTGCACAACAAAGTGGGCAGCTGGATGCACATAGTCACACTATGAATGCACAACAAACGGGACAGAACGCACAACAAATTGAGGAAGAATGCACAAAAAATTGAGAACGAATGCACAACAAACTGTGTATGAAAAATTAAATCCATTGCATAGAATTAAATCACAGCCATTGACTTAATTAAATGAAAGGATCATATAAATCTTCACGTCCTTACTTAAAATGATAAGTCTTCACGTCCTTACTTAAAATGATAGATCCATTCTTAATCTATATATGCGCAAAATTAAAAATAAAATAAAATAATTCAGTTCAATCACAATCGCAGCAATAAAAGACTTTGGTTACAATTTTTTTTTATTTAATATTCTCTACTTTCAAATTCCTAAAATTGTACAAAAACATGCACAACATTGAAATCTTGTCCATACATGATATATGAAATGAATGGCACCCATCCGATCCCCTAGCCTCCAAGTTACCAATTGTAGTGTCCACTTGAAACACCTTAATGTGGGGCTAGCTAGCTAGCTTTCTTAAACCAGACAGCCGAGGAAGAAAGTCAAGAAACGGTGAACCTCTCAACTACCCAGCAATTATAGAGTATACTATCTATATGCATGAAAATCTTTAAGGTGTATTATGCAGAAATGGGATATTGCCTACACATTTTCCATGTCATTTAAAAGAAATTTTAAGGTATTATTAGTTTGATATTTACGTAATGTTATATCTAGTACAAATACGTTTGTGTCGTAAGTTGTAACAAATATTGTTAGCAATAGTATCAAGTAAGTATCAGTAGTATCTAATACACTACTTGCTATACTTGAGTTACTTAATTAGTGTCGGTAGTATACTAGTACTTAATACAACTTGCTAAACTTGAATTATTACACTGAGTACATGTATCGCATCAATGTCATCATTCGATAGTATATATAGTAGTTGTTTCTATATATAATGTTGTTTTGTAAAGTCTTCTTGTCAACTAATATAGTTAATGTTTGATAATGATTGGTAATATTTAATTCCAATTATATTCTAGAAAAATTAGAAATGTACCTAAGCTTTTGTATGTATAGTTTTTTCTTCAATTCATAGCTTAAACTCTTAAACGATACCATGCACCTAACCTCAAAAGAGAAGAAATTAAAGACCATAGAGCACTAATGATGATTTACTCTAATAATAAGATTTTTGATCAAGTGCTACCCGTCTCTTTCTCTATGAAAATCATGTCTAAGAGACTCTTTGAATTATCAAATCGCACCAACCCCGTAGAGTTTATGAAAAAATATTTTATTTTTCCATGTCAAATACTTTATTGGTTCAACTTTAATTACTATCCACATTATATAAAATTACTTTATTGTTTCAACTAGTAATTCACCCGCGCGATGCACGGGAAAAAATTATGTTATTATAAATATAAATAAAAAAATAGAAAAAATAAAAATATTTTAAATTTTTTAATATAATAATATTTTTGAGCTTCCATTGGTCAAGTATTTATTATTTTTATAGAATACAAAATTATAATTAAAATTTTGTATGGTTAATATAATATCTAATTATGTACATATTCAAATAAACTTATAGAGAGAATTTACATAATTACATTGATTTATTCTTAATTGTATTTCATCTATATTATAATTTTCACAATACGAATAATAACTAAGATAATTACATTTAGAAAGCAAATTTCAAATTTTGTATGAGTAAATTTATACTCTAATTGAACACATTTTTTAATATGATTATATAATATATTCTTTATGCACATGGCATTCCATAAACTAAAATGTCATTTTATAAGTCCAAGACCACTTTTTGTGGAGATAATTCAAATGTATTTTTTTTCTTTTAAAAGTCCTAGACATCCCAAAAAACATTAAAGACCCATACGATATATACATTTATATATATTTAAATTTTTATTTATGGCTTAAATGATTTTTTTTTTTTATTCTGAAGTCCAATAATTGACCCACGGCCCGCAACATTTGCTTTCTTCATCCCTTCTCGCCTCTGTCATTTCTTTGAAGCATTTGAGATGGAGAAAAATTATATGTAGATGCTTGCATTAATTGCACGGTTTCAAATATTGAATAGGCTTTCATCGAAAATTTAATTAATATTGTAATTCCAAGAACCACCATAAATAACAAAAGCATATCAAATAGACTTTCATTGTAAAGCCAGAGATTTAACTAATATTGTATCGTTTCATATTTTCTATTAATCGGGAATCGGAATTCTTAATCCTAATATCACAACATTTAATAACTCCATTAATTCAATAAATGTAATCCTTTGTTATGGACGAAAAAAAAAAACAGCTATTTTATTTTTCAAATGTTGTGCTTCTTTTTTTTTTTCTTTTTTTTTTTTTTAGTAAAAGATGTTGTGGCTATTTTATATTTATAGCTAGTAATAATAATAATGTTGGTAATTAATTATAACATTAATTATTTCCCAACCATATAGCTTTATTATATGTAAGATGTTAAAATAACAATACTTTTATGAATTTTTCCTTACATTTGATTTAAGGAAATAAAAGTCCGATCCACACCCACAATTCAAATGTGTGCTTCGAATGAAGCTCGCTTTGCGACCTAACCAACACAAAATTACAAAAAGATAAATTTAAAATCTTATAATTACCAATAAATTACTCAACTACATATACCTTGAAATTTCACATACCTTAATAATTATATTCCATACCTAGTGTCTAGTGCTGACTACATTAATTTGCCTCAATGGTTACGATTAGACCTAGCATGGAATCTTTACAATTTCTTTATGTTTACATTTGAATTTCCCAATAGAAATGACTAAATTTCTAAATCATCCCTTTATTCTTTTGTTCTCCTTTTACTTTTAATTCAACCAAAACTTCCCCAATATAATTCTCTCCATTTACATGGTGTATGTGTTTCCTGCATAATAAAGTAGTTAACACTGCACGGTCCGTTCAAAATAATAATAAATAAATAAATAAATAAATATATATATATATATATATATATATATATATATATATATATATATATATATATATATATATAAGGAGTAGAGTGACTTATATATAAAAATTATTGATCATTTTAGTCGCATAAAATATTTTAAACTATACATGTACATTATGATAAAACTAGAGCTTGTAGGCTACTATTTACGAGAGTAAACATCCTTCCATGAAGTTGTTAAAGAGAAATTTGGCCGGCATGGGCAGCTCAATTAGTCACAGGGATGAAGTTTGTAAACAATGATTTGAGATCGAGTCTCACCAACGACAGTGTGAGAGCAACCTCTCAAAGTGATGAGGGTTCCTTGTGCTCAGTAAGCAAAGATCTAGCCTATGTGTTAAATCATGTGAGTAATCATGAATAACCGGCCAATGCTTTGTCGGGCCGAGGTGTGGGGCTCTTGAAGTTGTGGATTCAACTTTTTGATAATAAGTAAAAAGAGAAATTCGCTTTCAAAAAAAAAAAAAGAAGTAAAAGAGAAATTTGGGTGCTTCTGCTAGTTACAACTTACAATCAATCAATCATAGACTTCTATATGAGGAAATAAAAAAGTATCTAAAATTATACAAATTACTATATTATATATAAAGAGAATTTTGTTGGTGATAGACAACTTCGCACTGGAAGATAATTTATAATTTTTGGTCAAAATTTCATACGTTACTCTAACAAGTCTTTAATTATAATCTTGAATTGCGCTTTTGATGGGGCGAAATAATGTGAAAGTCTATATCATAGATATAAAAAAAAATGATGTCTAAGAGTATTATTATATATATAATTATTTTGTCGGAGTAAAAACCTAACTACTCTAGAATAACTTCTGAATTGCGGTAGCTAGCTGCCTCTTGATGGCCGAACATTGATTGACCGAATGACTAGCTCAATAAAACACCAAGAATGGTACATACCCAGAAAACAAGTCTTTCATATGGAACCAAATCCATAAATGAATACAAACAATCAAATTAAATACCAATTCAAGATGGAATTAGACATGAATGACGGAGAAGTTAAGGTAGGCAAGAGAGGAGAGACACATAGGATAGTTAGAGTACAGTGGACTTGTAGTTTTTTTTGGAGTCTCCAGAAAATCTATGATCGGATTAAATTGTGTGTTTGTTTGTTGTTGAAGACGATGACTTGAAGCGTTGAAGACTTAGAAGACTTGAATAAATAACAGTGATAACACCATGTGCTGTCCCATGAGAAACGTCATGATGCCTATGTGTGAACAACTTCAATTATTCACATTACTTGTGATCACCTTTGCTTGAATCAACTCATCCTTTTTATTCTTATTTTATATTGATGATTATGTATACACCTATATATGTGTATATTGTACATCAACATCGATATTCTTTTCACCGGTGGGTCCTGATACAATTATGTATGCTTTGGGATTGTCTGGTCTAGGTATAACGAACCACGTATGCTGCGCTTTGGGGTTGTATAGGGTATTATCATTTGATAAAATGATACATAGACTCTCATTGATGTATACAAATTTCAATCACGTGTCGTGATTTTATTGATAGAAGAGATGGAGATAGAGAAAGCATTGAAAATTGTGGAGCAATCATTTTTTTTTTTTTTTTTTGGAAAAATCAGGAGACGCTACGTAAGTTTGGGGTAAAAATTGAAAGTATGTATAGTATTATACTTGTCAATTCTTAATTTCATTGTATCTGATCTGGTACAACCCAAAACCTACATAGTTGATGTTTTTGAGATTGCATCAAGTATTGTCAATTCATATTATCATGTTACCTTATATAACATCAGAAATATATATCATTGGTGTTTTTGAGGTTGTATCAGGTACCCTCCAATAAAAAAATTAGAAATATATATGGTTGTATATATAGTTGATGCATAAGGCATCGATACTATTTGACACCTTAGAATTTATTTTTATTTCTTATGTTTACTATATATTTTAAATTCCAATAACAATATATTTCTTTATAGAGTAATATTTAAATTTCACTTTTATATTCAATATAACATGTGAAATATTTTTTACATTAAAAATATATAACTTTTATTTCTTAACTATAATGGAATAAATACAATAAAAATATATAAAATTTATTTGTTAAATATAAAATAATAAATATAATAAAAATATACCTATATATCAATGAAAAATTCAAATCTGGGGGCTATTACACATGAATAAGGTTTATTGAATGAACATTTTTTATAGTGATTGCGAGTTTTTTTTGTCATCCAAAAAAAATTAATAAAATCAATCTTTTGTAAATTGCAACAATGAAGTTTGAACATTTTAGAGTTATTAATTTAACACGTTTGTACCGTTCTAGTCATTATATTTCTTGTCCAGATACAAAAAAGAACAAATATGCATGACTTGAATTGACTTGTATAGTTGTATGTTCACATACTTTTTTTTTTTTTTTTGAAGAAATATGTTTGTTATACAGTAGTGGTAATGATTAATTAATTATTTGTAGTGAGTGTGATTAATGTTTGTATTCTAAGATAACTCAATACACAGTAATATACAACACATTACATAAGATATATATTGAAACTCAATAGAAAACTAGGACTATATAGTCCTAACAAGTGCTTGTCGGTGGAAAATTCATACCTTTGTGAGTTCGAACATTTCAAAATGATGAGTAAATTCACTCAAAGCTTAACATATTTGTACCCTTCTATTTTTTTAATTTTTTTTGTCCAAATACAAAAAGAACAAATATCCATGACTTAAATTGACTTGTATGTTTGTTATTTTGCATAAGTTAGAATGCTTACTTTTTTTTACTCAAGTCATATTTTGTTCTTTATTTTGTATTGATAAAAGTCTTTTGTTTTGTAAATATTATATATATGTCCTTTATTTTATATTTGTAAATATATAAAAGTGAGTGTAAATTGAACTATTGAACATGACCCCTATTTCTTTGGAACCCCTACTCGTGCAAGAGGAGATCGAGCACGGATATATTGAAATAGTTATGATAGTTGGTTTAGTTAATGGTTTTACATTTTGAAGAAAAAAAAAATTGTCGTTGCTTATATTTAGAATTCATCAAATTAACTTGTTTGGAGTGACTTGAAGGGTCGAGTTCAATATCATGTCATCAAAACGTAGTGTTAACTGCTAGTGCAAATATAAGGAAATAAAATTACAAATTCACTACTCACTATAACTTTTGACGTAATGATAAACTCTTAATTAATTAATCTGATAACAGTAATTTCACATAATACCCACTCACAAACCATTAATACCATCTACTACTCAAAACTAATTAATACAACCCGCTATCCGCTATCTATTTCCTAATATATACTGCAAATCTATAAACTAAGACCTAGCTAAGTGAGGAGACTAGTCTCCCAAAATAGTATGATCGTCGTCATAGTCCACTTCATTAGACCAGCCAATTAATCTTTTGTATGTTCTTTAATTTATTATTCCTTCAAGGATCCTTAGCTACCATTGCGTGGAAATTTCAAAGCAACTTGGATGACCAAGCTTTGGTCCTTTTACTCGGTTTAATTAACTTTCACCCTCCTTTCCTAACCCGGCCCTTTCCGTACAACCAGACAAACTTCATTTTTTCTCTATATATAAGTGGACAAGACCAGTCATCGTCTTTAGGGATATCCCATTTTGAACCTCTGAAAACCCTTGCTTCAATCCAACTCAATTCTTCTTCTTCTTAGCTTCTTCTAACTTAACACAGTAAAGAAAAGAAAAACCAAGAAATTTGTTGAAGAAGCTTGCTGGAATCTGGTGATTATACAGCCTAAGATCGATATGGAGGAGGATGATTTTCCACCGCCAGGGTTTCGGTTCTTCCCGACAGAAGAAGAACTGGTGTCGTTTTATCTGAAAAACAAGCTTGAAGGAAGGTTTGAGGAACACATTGATGTCGTTATCCCCGTCCTCAATATTTACGATCACGATCCATGGAGTCTCCCACGTTAGTCATCTTTAATTTCCATCTCTTCTTACGTTTATAGTGCTTACATATATGTATGTAGAAATAATATAATCATCTTTCCACGACAACCTTGGTGTGATAACTTTGTAACCATAAGATTACAGGTGACTCCCAACTAGGAGTCGTTGATTGGTTTTTTTAATTTGAACATATCAGTTATAAACAATCTAAGCTAGTTCACCTCTTTTACTGACTAGAGTTAGAAACAGGATTTATGCAATACACACTCTCATGTAGTGGTTGCTAGTTTTCTCGTTACTCAAAAAATATATATAATCATCTTTTCTTGGCATGTAAATCCATGCATTTTATGGGTTTTTTTTTTTTTTTTTTTTTTTTTTTTTTTTTGGTGATAAAACAGATTAGTGATTCATGAGGTTCATGTTGCATTAATATTTGAAAAGTTTAATTCTGGGATTTTTTATTTTTATTTTTGGGGTTTTTTGGAGTGCAGAATTTGCAGGAAAGTATAATCGCAGCGACCCGGAGCAATGGTTTTTCTTCATCCCAATGCAGGAGAGGGAAGCGCGGGGAGGGCGGCCGACGCGGCTGACGGCCGGAGGGTACTGGAAAGCCACCGGGTCGCCGGGGCTGGTGTACTCCGGGAATAATCGCGTCATCGGCGGGAAAAGGACGATGGTATTCTACACGGGGCGAGCGCCTAATGGAAGAAAGACTGAGTGGAAGATGAAAGAATATCGTTTCAGTGAAAGAGAAGCCTCTAATAATTCAGTAAGTAGTAAACTTTCTATGAATTTCATGGCACTTTCTTTCTTTTTTTTAGACAGTTTCCTTAAACTAATCGAATGTTCTTTGTTGCTGCGCTGCAGCCGCAGGAATTCATCTTGTGTCGTGTTTACAAGAAACCCAAGTGCGCCAGGGCGTTTGACAGACGGCCGGCATGTATGGCACCGGCGCCACCCGCCGCGGAAGGCGGAGAGCCCGCTCTTCTGCAACCGCCGCCGCCGCCAATGGCTGCAGCCGCCAATGACGCCTCCGCGTCGACATCACTACAGAAGGCTGACAAGAAAAGTAGCTCGCAAGAAACCTCATCGCCGTCGCCACCCCATGGCGGAGATAGTGTAGAAGACGACCCCGTCTGGGATTTTTCCGACCAGATTCTGTTCGAATGGGATCCATTCAAAATCCTCTACAACTAGTACGTATAATATTATGAAGATCAGACACGAATATTTGGCAAAATCTTTAAATTTTGTGTCTTCCATTACAATCTGACGTCACTACATGAGTTTTCGAACTGTTTAAGAATGTTTGTGCCCTAGATATCTATGTTATATTATTATTACACTGTAATTTAGATCTTTAACTTAATAAACTCGATCATATGATCGTATTTATATTACAATAATTTTCGGAATTTCAATATGTTACTGCTATATATTTTATTGGGTGTTCGTTAAGGTTTCTAATCAGATTTTGAGTTCATTTAGTCCCCAACTTTGGACGAATTTCAGTAGTGCACTCTTTGAAATTCTTGATTATAGTATCAACAAACAAAGGGCTTATGGAAATTTTAATTTGCCGGGAAAGAGAGGTGGCTGAGAGACTGAGAAGGTAAAACATGATTCTCGTACCAAAAGTTTACGAGTTACTCCATTTGTCTCATTTTATGTGTTTGGTTCGGGGCTTAAGTGGAGTTATTTTTAATTTAATTTTTCATAATATTAAGTTTAGTATTAGTATACAAATTTTATATATTTAGAAAGTACACTAAAAGTACTATTAAACACTAGGAGTGAGCATAATTACCTAAAAACTGACAAAACCGATAACCGATGACCGAACCGACAGATAATTTCGGTTATCGGTCAGTTATCGGTTATAAGGCAACAAAAAAAAAATTCGATTATTTATCGGTTATGAAGGTGTAATAACCGCGGTCACCGAATAACAGATACTATTATTCATATATATATATATATATATATATATATATATATATATATATATATATATATATATATATATATTACTTGTGGATGCTCCCGAATAACCGATCGGTTAAAAGTGTATGTTCGGTCGATTTGGGTCGGTTATGGAGATTTAAAAAGTGTCCTCGGTTATTGGTCGGTTATTAAACGTAACCGATCGATGCTCACCGCTATTAAACACACACAAAGATAAATGTAATAATAATAATAATAATAATAATAATAATAATAATAATAATAATAATAATAATAATAATAGTAGTAGTAGTAGTAGTAGTAGTAATAATAATAATAATAATAATAATAATTATTATTATTATTATTATTATTATTATTATTATTATTATTATTATGGTGAAAGTTGCAGATAAATTAAAGGAGAAGAGAAAAAAGGTTTTAATTGGGAAGGGTAAATAATGTCATTTCTTTAAAATAATAAGGATAAAGATGGAAAAAAAAAAGTTAGGAAGCTAGGAACTTATTTTGAAACGCTACCTAAAGTAGCGTTCCATAATAAGCTCTTATTTTAATCTAGGAACTTATTTTGGGAACATTACCAACCAGAGCTTATAGCTTATTAGTAGCTTAAAATAAGCTATAAGTTCCTAAATAAGCTCTGCCAAACAGAGCCTTTGTCTTTCTTATTTTAAAGAAATGACATCATTTACCCTTCCCAATTAAAATATTTTTTTTATCCATTATTATCCGCAACTTTCACCACAATTATTATTATTATTATTATTATTATTATTATTATTATATTATTATTATTATTATTATTATTATTATTATTATTATTATTATTATTATTATTATTATTATTATTATTATTATTATTATTATGAGATGAAGGAGATTCGCAACAATATTGCTACTTCATTATGGGATGCTAGATCATGATTATGCTAATAATTTTATTTCAAAATGTTTTTTTTTTTGAAGATCAGACAAAATGTTAAAGTTTAATATGTAAACAAACTATTTTAAATTTTATGAAGATGTCCTTATTTGTCTTTTTACATTTATCAGCTTATCAAAAAGCTAAGTTTACCAAATACTTTCCAGCATAACAACTAGCTTAACAACTCTTCAGTTTTCAACGCCTAGCTTATAGCTTTTCAGCTTTCAGTTCCTTTTAAGCTTTCAGCTGCCTTTTCAGCTATGTTTGCTAAACATAGTCATTGTACTATTGATATAATTGTTGATGGTATAAGCACTTGTGTAGCAAAAATCCCAATAATATTTTATATGGACTTTGTTTTGCATATTTAGCTTATAAACTAGCTTAAAAATTGAAAACTTAAAAGCTAGTAGCTACTAGCTTATTTTGAAATTCTATTCAAAGTAGCGTTTTAAAATAAATTATTATTTTAAACTCTCGATAATTTACCAGATCTTATTACTTATTTCTAGCTTAAAATAATCGGCTATAAACTCTAAAATGTCTTACAACAAATTAGTTTTGGTTGTGGACATATTAACCTAAAGAGTAATGCTTTCTATCAATCATTTTTAAATTTTCCTTCTTAATATTCATCTCCTGAAAGATAAATTTAGGAGGAAAAATAAAATTATTATTCTAACCTAAATTCAATTGCGAGAATATCCTTAGTATTTTTTTGACAGAACTCCAAACATATTAACCTAATTCTAATTGTGATTGGGTTTTTCTTTCACTCTCTATAGTGGATCTTGAGTTGATATTGCCTAATAATTGGGTTAAATAAATAAATAAATGTTCGGGTGACTGAGTGGATAAAGGTCACGAGTTTGATTCTTGTTAACATATTTTTGATCAACTTCGTCAATTGTATAATTTGCTTGCTATTAATTAATTAATTAATTAGCCAAGCATCTTGTGTTCAGATGGCATGTAGTGACCTCTTTCATGTGGGAGGTTATGAGATCGAGCCTCAATGAGGGCAACACATATTACAATGTAATAGAGTTTGTAGCATAAAAAATAATTAATTAATGAATAATTAAAATAGAATTTCCTTTCAAAAAAATAGAATTAATTCAGTGCTATATATATATTGCTATTAACAAATTTATTCTCTCTCTATTCATATTGGATTCGGATTTTGTTAATATTTAGGAATAATAAACAGTATCTTAGATAGATGATGACATTCTATTTTTGCCTTTTGAATTTCACAAAACAAATCTTTAATAATCATATGTTATTATATTTTATTAAGGTTATATTTTCAATTCATAGAAATGACTATTTTTTTCCTCGTTCGATCTTAGTGGCTAATCCCTCAACATTAAAAATCGAGATGAGCCCAAAAATGGCCGCCCAAAAATCATGATATTAATAGATTTACAATATTACCCCTATCAATTATTCTTATTAAATCTTAAATCATTATCTTGTCTTAAAAAAAAAAATCTCTACACCACTCTTTTTTTCTCATTTCTTTTACATTGATTCTGGACATACAATATTTTATTTTGGCAATTGAATTAGTTTTTTTTTTTTTTTTTTTTTGCTTTTTGAATTTTAAATAGTATTTTTCTAACTAGAAATGGTGAATATACTTCATATTTTTATATTTTGCTTTAGCTGAAAAAACAACCATTGATAAGTCAAATTTTGACAGGGAAATATGGTTAAGAAAGAGCCAAACATATTTATGAAAATAAGTTTAGATAGAATAGACTTGACAGAAATTTTAAAAATAAATTACAGTCTTTATTTTTGTATATTTATTGATTATTTATATTGCAGGTTTCATTGTACTTTTGTTATATATAAAATAAAATTACTCCGCATATGCATATTAGTCATTTAGGTTTTTTTATTTTATTTTATTTTAATAATCCAACACAGATAATGCATACTACTGTATCTTAATGCATATTTAGCTGACATATATGTATGTACTTTTTCTTGTTATAAACACTAGTTACAATCATTTGTGTTGGAAAAATAGCATAAAATGATATTGTAAGTGGTTATTTGTGATACAAATATAGGGGGGTTAACTCCCAATCTGGGTCGGCTCAAATTGGATTCGGGTTTTTCGTGGTAAGATGAAGAGATCGATATATTGTACGTTAGTTCAAAATGGATAATCGATGAATGAGAAATTGATTATCAAAGTAGACTCATTTGAGTTGAAAAATAAAGGTGAAAAAGCTTGATTGAGTAAAGAAAGAATGAGATTTGCATCACTATATATACATAAAAGCTTTAAAAAAAGTTGAATTGTATATAGACTAAAATTACAAGACATGATTTATTTAGTGAACACAAATTACTCAAAAATTACCGTTGAATTATATTTCGGATGAGATAACACGTTACTAGATTGATATTTGATAGCACTTTTGGTGACAATTTTTGTCCCATCGAATATCATATATATTATTCATTATGTCCTGTCCACCTATATCTATATACGTTTTTTTCATAACCACACATCAATACATCATCAACTACTTAATTAATTGTAATAACTTTACAACATGACAAGAAAGGCAGACTTAATTAGCGCAAAACAGCATACATAAAATGACACCAAAAGCTGTCTTTAACTAGCAAAATTTGAAATTACTTATCTTCCCGACATGAGATTGGGCGGTTCAGTGCGATGTTGAAAATCGGTCGAAATCGTTGTCTGTTACCGGCAGTTGACAACTTGACCAGTTGACCATAACATCGTAATCTATCTGAGGTGTCCATTAAAAAAAACTCTGACCCCGTAAAATAATTCACAAACTATACATAAGAGATGAATTGCAGTTTTAATAGTACAAACATGAAGTTGAAGAAAATAGGTGGAAATTGTTGTATGATTTTTGGACAGTTGTTGGTTGGTCAACTCTACGTACTGGTCAAACAATGAAATAAAATTTAAGCCTGTATGGGTAGCTCAACTGGTCATAGAGGTGAAAGTTGAAAACAATGAACAGGGATCGAGTCTTACCAGTAGCAGTGTGGGAGCAACCTATCAAAATGAAGGACTCTTTCTGCGCAGTAAGCAAAAGTCTAGCCTCTGTATAGTTCATGTTCAGTTGAATTACCATAATTTACACCATTCCAAATGCTCTGTCGGCTGCAATGTACATTTAAAGAAGATTGGTGGGATCGTTGTCTGTTACCGGGAGTTGACCACTTGACCATAACATCGTAATCTAACAACGTTGCTATCTTGTTTGACGAGTTCGTGGCGTTGATTGCATTAGTTGTATGTGCGGACATAGTCAGTGACTAGGATACCATTACCATGCATTGATGATCAGAATGAGGAAGAAGAAGAAGAATAATAAAGTTCAAACTCATACAACCTGCCTTGCTAGTTTCCATATTCTTACCGTATCCATCGATTTGTTATTCCGCGATAGTGATTTGGTGATGTGATATATGAAAGTAAACGGGTCACGCATTCTAGCTACACGCTGCGTGTTCAAATTGAAAGATGCGTTTCATATTAATCAAGACTGAAAGTAAGATGCGTTTCACATTATTTATTTTATTTATTATTATTTTTTAAAACCCTACTATATATGTTTATGGATGGGTTATTGGGGTGAATTGGCTTACCATTATACCATACCTAAGTTAATAAGGAATTTAAGTAAGTAAACAAGTAAAGCATAATGTGTACAAATTGAAAGATGCGTTTCACATTAATCAAGACTGAAAGATGTGTTTCATATTAATTAAAAAAAAAATTTCTCACCATACAATTACAATCCTTTGTTAGTCACGACTCCTGAATAAAATGCAAACTATTCACTTTTATGAATTATGGGCTTACACCACCATATATATATATATATATATATATATATATATATATATATATATATATATATATTTTTTTTACATCCCACCATGAGTTAATAATGAATTTACATATCTAATAAAAAGATAATATGTGAAAAATGCTAATAGTAGGAGTCTTTAGTGATTCAATGATGTGATGAAAGTAAACAGGTCAGGCATTCTATGGGTTCAAATTAAAAGATTCGCTTCACATTAATTTAGACTGAAAGGTGATTTTTTTTATTAATTAAAAAATTTAAGTTTATAATAGTGATGCGTATTCATTTATCCAAGGACGTGAAAAAGATGTGTTTATCTTGTAATAATTATTTATAATTTCATAACTCCATTGCAATTTGCAAAGTCATGGGGATAAGATGGAAGACTTTATAAATTGACTATATAATATAATTATATAAGCTTTGTTTTTAAACTTTGTTCACTAAATGACAATTTATTTAACCCACTTTCTTTTTTCCTTTGGAATATTTATGTCAACTAAACAAATAAATAAACAACCTTTATTCGTCTAAAATGTTGAACCCAACAATAAACATCCTTTATGATTAAGTGAATGTAGTATGATTCTTGTATCTAAAAGTCACAAGTTGATGTTAAGAGTTAAAATCCAATATAGTCATCGACTATAGTGGTTTTACTCAATTTAGTCCTAAATGAATTTTTGTGTTCAATTTAGTTCTCGATTTTGATCATTTTACACAATTTAGTCATTTGTTAAAAGTTCTGTTCGATGGCTGTTAGAAATATGGTCCTAATGGTAATTTCTCATCATTCACCTCATTTGAGATGATTCCTTATTCTTCCCCTTATTAAGATATGTCCACATAGAAATGTAAATCTATGTACCTAAATATTTATTTACTATGTATTTATTTATTTAGGGTTGAAGTTGATTTGGGTACGAAGATTTGCATTGCGTAGATCTTAATAAGGGGAAGAAGAAGGAATTATCCCAAATGAGATGAAGGCCGGATGAGAAATTACAATTAGGACCATATTTCTAACAATCAACTAATAGAATGTTTAACAGATAACTAAATTGTGTAAAATCATCAAAGTCGATGACTAAATTGAGCACAAAAATTCATTTAGGACTAAATTCAGTACAACCACTATACTCGATGACTATATTAGATATTAACTCTGATGTTAAGAAATTAGTCAAATTATACAACTTTATTGAATTAATAATAAAAGGGTGGGGATGAAGGCAACCCCAATCAAGTTGGTTAGATTGTTAACTTGGTAATCACAAGATTATATATTCGACTTCGGCCTATTGACTTTCTTGGTTTACCTCCATATGGTCTTTTGATGGTTAGGGTTATAAAACGAGATCTTTTATTATTTATATATTAAGCTCAATATTTTAATTTTTAAGTTATTCTTGCTTACAAAAAGTGAACTTTCTCGTCCCAAAGACCACTCCTACACCCCAGTCTAACAAGATAATCACAGTGACTTAGTGACTTCTTAAGTAAAAAAAACTAATGTCTAATGCCCACAAGAAACCCACAATATGCTGAATTGCTGATCCCCACAATATTAAAAACAAATGTTTTTTTAGATTGTACTTGGTCCCCACAATATTCAAAACAACTAGACGTGCAATTTAAATTCTACTTAGTACAAATCGACGCGGTATCGATTGACAATCCCTAATTTTAGTGGCTAAAATATCTTCTAATTATTGTCATTTTCATGGGAAGAGGACTAGGAAGAAACTTGGATTCTACGCCGAAACGTGCGTAACAAACAACAAACAATTCGGTAAGAAGAATAATATAATGATGTACAAGTGACCTGAGTGGAACATTCAGCACAGGTATGAGGTATCAGAATCTGAGTGTCGGACGAGGAACACAGACACAACATGCTTAATTGCTTAGAATTTTATACACAAACTGAAATTTCTCATTTTCTTCTCCGAAGATCCCAAATTCACAGTTCCGGTTAACCACTTAACCCTAATGTTTACACAGAAAATGCTTACACCGAGGGCAACGGTTTTTCACCATTCGTCGTCTAGGCTGGCGTGGTGAAAGCACAAGACGGTGCAGACGAATATGAAGAACGAGGTGAACTCGATGAACATGGCCCCTGTCCCGATCAGATCTGCGTGTCTCAGAATGATGGGGATGGCAATGCTCCCGACTGCAGATGCCCCGGTTAGGAATTTCGCAGCGTCAATCCAGCTGCACGAGGGAGAGCGAGTCAGATAAGGCAGAACAAGTTAATCGTGTAGAAATGGTGGAACTTAAACATAAACAACGAGAGAAAACGAGGCAAAATAAGTTAATCAGGACAATGTATGTTAAGCACGAGAACTAAAAGAAATGAAATGCAAACGCCAAATATATGATTGAATAGTGTTGAGCATATAACCATTAATGTGCAATCCAACTACTAGCTTAGGCTTTTAATTGAGATGAATAGAACAGTTCGGTAAGGCAAGTCGTAAAGGATAATGCAGATTTGAAAAGAACTTACCCGCCACCATCTCGACTGATTAAGAATTGAGTGGAACCACCGCCAAAGAACATACAAGGCATGGGGACCACGACATACATAAGAGCTGTCAAAGTAATTAATTCTTTCTGGTAAGTAACGAGAAAAAGTAATCGGTGTAATCCAAAGTACATTTTTTTGTCCAAACCTGATAACATCGGCCACCAATTGTTGTATAATGCACAAGCCTACAAGACACACGGACATTATAAAAACCGGGAGCAACATCATAAACACAAGGAAAAGACAACATATTCTTTGTCAACAAATATAATGTATAATCACTAAGATAACAAGCCATAAAACTAAAAAGTCAGTGGATATCGTGTGATCTAGAAGGTATAATTTTGACATCCACAGATTCCATGGATATACGAGAGGGAAAAATCGTTGAACCTACCAGGATCTGTAGCAGGATGCTCGTGGAAAACATGAAGGCAAGCCCCATAAGCCTGTTAACAAGGAATCACATTTGAATATTCATCTCAACCGTATTGGAAATTACCAAAGGAAAAACTCGAATATTCTCACTTACACTTTAACCAACAAGCAAAGTCGAGTTGGTGGATCAAGACCACAGGATATGAACGAACACCAGATGAAAACAAGTTAATATAGTACCCCAGAAAAAAACAAAAGCTGAAAAGCAACGATAGCTAAATTTGAAAAGAGATTAGCTGACTATATAAACTGATATTCAAACTAAACATTCAAATTAAAAAATGAATAATCGACTCAATGCTCTTTTGATGTTCTAAACAGACCGATCTAGTTAATGAGCCATATTACCTCACCTAAGGCAGCCTCCCATTAGTAATCTGGTAATCCATTAGAGTTAACTTCAGGGGTGACTTTGTCAGGGTTGCCGTAGAAGAGAATCTAGAGATTCTCCTCGACCACAATGCCATACTGGCGGCGTAAAGAGTATTTTGGCTTTTGTATTTATAAGCTCAATATGTTAGAATCAATGTTGTAAAAATCGGCCTAGGCGGCTAGGTGCCCCTAGGCCAAGGGGATTTTACCCTTAGGCGGATATTAGTCGGCCTAGTCACCCGAGTCGGCCAACTAATCAATGACAAGAATCACAAGATCATGCCCATCCATCACGATTCACGCAACTAATCAATGACAAGCAAAAACGTGCTTACTTCCTCCAAGATCGTTTATCACAAACCACACTTTGATAACCCCCGAAAATAGGCATTAGCAAGAACCTTGAGCACCACCAAATATTTTATAGCATTAAAGATACAAACTTTTAACCCTGAAGACTAAACCATGAAATTTTTCTATGTTAATTGTTAAGGTTTCATATGAACAATCCATTCACTCCCTAGTTATAGACTATCTCTAAGAGCTTGTGAAAACCTTGAGAGCACCACCAAACATTTTATAGCATCAAAGATGCAAACTTTTAGCCTTGAAGACCAAAATCATGAAAGTTTTCTATGCTAAGACTATGTATGAACAATTCTTAGTTATAGACTATCAGCTTAAACATGAAAAAAGTTTTGCACAATCCATCTGTTCTTACAATAACTCTACCCTAATAATCAGATTAAATAATCTCTACTAAAACTCCCAATTTGATTACCACAGTGCAACATCTTGAATAACGATGATTGAGCAGAAATTCTTAGATGTTTAATTGCTAAAGCCCTAAAACCAAACCCGAGTTCTTCATCTTTATTTTCAGTAAAAATTTGAGAAATCAAACATGGCAGTTGATAATAGAAGCTCGAATTCTACAAATTATAAAAATAACGCGAATATATAGAGTTCTGTATCTCTGTGTGTGTGTATGGGGTGGGGGGTGGGGGGGGGGGGCGTACCTCCTACGGTCATCGCCATTCTCTTTGGAAGGACGGAGGGGCAAAGTTGGAATGAAATTTGTGATCGCTGATTTCCGATCCGACGTCTGATGAAGCATCCAGAGCTCAACGACAACGAGGAGATGAATATTTGTCGGTTTCAATCTTGGAATTATTTTGTTTGCTTAAATCTCCTTGTATTTTGTTGTAATTTATATTCCTCCCCGGAATGGTCGGATACTCGGATCTGTGTTTTTACGGTTAGCGATTGCATCCTTCAATTAACTCTTATTTACGCTTTCCCTCCAAATTTTTCGTGAAAGCATTGTTTTTTTTTTTTCTCAAGAAATGGGTCAAATAATGAAATAGACCTTTAAACTTCAACTGAAAAGCTAATTAGCTTTTTAAATTTTTTGAAGATGCAATTACAACTATTAACAATTTATTTTAATGCAATGAATTTCAAAATTTTGTTAATGACTTATGATGACCTGTTACAAGGTCATTAAGATTCCAACAACTAGTGCTGTCAATACGGGCTGACGGGGCGAGCCGGGTCAAAGCCCGGCGGGCCTAAACGAGGCGGGCTAAAAAAGCCCGCTCCTAAACGGTCCTAGGTTTGGTAGGCCCGGACTGCCTCGCCAGTGGCCCACGGGCTAGGCGGGCCCCGCCCAAACCCCCTCTTTAAAAAAAAAATTGTGAATCAAACATCAAACTAATTAAAATAAATTGATACATAAGTCATAACTCACATAAAACATAATAATCAAACATTAAATATTACATAAAAGTTCAAAGTTCATAGTTCATCAATCACACTAGTCACAACTTCAAAGTCCAAAAATATTACACATAACAATAATTTTAAAGTGCATATTTTATATAAAATAAAATAAAATAATGGCGGGCAACCCGCGGACTTGGCGGGACGGGCCAAAAAGTCCGCTCCTAAACGGTCCTGTATTTTTTAAACCCACCCCCTACCTAAGTAGGGCCGGGCCGGCGAGCTAAGCCCGTTTTGACGGCTCTACCAACAACCCACCAGCGAAATTTCAGACAACAAAATAATCGGCAACCGACGAAAGACCGCCAATCACGAAGAAAGAGACTAATGTAGCCTTCTCCAGCAGAAGACGACCACTGTAATCGCCTTCTTGGACAAGAAGGCGACCCAGATGGTCGTCTTCTTCGACGAGAATGCATGCGACCCAAATGGTCACCTTCTCATATTGAGAAGGCGATTACAGTTGTCGCCTTCTACTGGAGAAGGCAACCACTAGTCGCCATCTGCTGGAGAAGGATACATTGGTCTCCTTCTCTGTGATCGGCAACCATTCACCGTACTTTGTTGCCTGAAATTTCGTCAAAAGGTTGCCGGAACTCTAATAACTTGTGATAGTTGGTCATTAATCGTTTTCTGCGCTTCATTGCATCAAAATAAATTGTTAATGGAGGTAATTGCAAACGTTTAGGGACTAATTGACTTTTTAGATAAAGTTCGATGACTTATTTGACCATTTTTTTTTTCTAGTTTATTCGCTGTAATTTACTTGTATTCTTCTTATTCTTATTCTTTTGAGTGATGATAAAAATTCGCAGTCATTACTCGAAAGTGCATATTAAGTAAATTTTGTTCTTGTGTAATATCCTGTAAAATCGCACAGATAGAATAAATAAATCACATTAGAAAAGACTTTGATTCGACCAATTAAGAAGGTATTAACAAAAAATCAAACTCATAACCTTTTTTTGAATATTACAAATCATTATATTGGTTCAATTAGCATATACGAAATTTCTTCAACATGTCTCAATTATGTTCATAAACTCTAAGTAAACGTGACTTGACATGTGTATGCCACATTCTCTAATTTCTACACCAAGATTCTCACTATGTTACCGTCATGAATATCTGTCATGCCTCGAGAGCAGATTCATCTTGTTTTCTTCTACCCCTAGATTGAATTATAATGGATTAGGGGAAGAAGATCATTGTGCAGTTGACATACTATACTATAAAATAATTAATTAATTAATCTAACTGTTCAACAAAAGCTTTGGTCCACTGCAAAAATTATTATAAATAATTGAAAATTGTACCCATGCACCTGACCAACCAATTATATCTGCTCCATCATATGACATATCACAAATTATATATTAATCAATAATTGATTAAGTATGAATCTGTTCTTGCTCCACCATCCCAATAAATTCAACATATATTCTTTAAAAAATGAAGGGAAAATCATCAAAACAAACTTATATAACCCCCTTCCATGCATCCAATCATCAATCAAGCATTTGAGCATTTAATCAACTAGAAAAACAGAAACATCATCGGATTATATTGATTAAGGTTTCGATAATGGAGAAGAGTGAATCAACCAAGATTGATGTTGCAGAGTCGAGCAAAGAGAGGAAAGGGAAAGCTCCACTCTTGGGAGCTCTTAACGTTGCATCCGACAATAAGGCGGCGCCGGTGGCCGGTGGAGGATACAAAAAGGGCCTTGCCATCTTCGACCTCATCCTTAGAATAGTTAGTGTTGCCACCGCCATCGCTGCCACTGTCACCATGGCAACCGCCGAGGAAACTCTTCCGTTTTTCACTCAGTTCTTCCAGTTCGAAGCTAGCTATGATGATCTTCCAACTTTCTCGTAAGTCATAAATAAAAAATCTAGACAACATTAAACAAGTTGGTCAGACTGCTGACTTGGTAACTACAAGGTTCCAAGTTGACTCTTGACATTCTTGATTTGAACTGATCAGTAATTTACTTAATTAAGAATTTTTTTTTTGTGTTTTGTTGCAGGTTCTTTGTGATTAGCATGGGGATAGTGTCTGGATACCTGGTTCTTTCATTACCCTTCTCTATAGTGTGCATTGCACGGTCATATGCAGTCGGTCCAAGGATGTTTCTAATCATAGCGGACACCGTAAGATGTTTCTCCACCTTAATTTATTAATGATCAGGAAATCCATAGTCACTACTGAAAACTGTGCATAAATAAATTCCATCTTGTGATTCTAACGGTCAACTAGATTAGGTGGCTCATAGCTGTCAAATTGCTCTTCCATTGAAAGTTAAATTTATAACATTGTGATTACCATGTCAATAGTCTTACTAACTTGGTTGGGTTGTTTTTATAATGTTTTATTATATATATATTTCATGCATGCAATAGAGATAACTAACTAAAACATTTTTTGATGGGGTATAGGTGGCGATTACGTTGGCAACGGCGGCGGCGGGGTCGTCGGCGGCGATTGTTTACTTGGCTCACGTCGGGAATACAGATGCCAACTGGCTTGCAATCTGTCAGCAGTTCGGGGATTTCTGCGAGAGGGCGAGCAGCGCGGTGGTGGTGGGCTTCGTCACGGTGGTGATCTTGATTGTTATGGTGCTTCTCTCTGCTTGTGCTCTTCGAAGACGCTGATCTGATATGATGATTAATCAAGAAAATGATTGAATGCTCGCTTTTGCGGGTTCTAATATTATATATATTTCCTTTGGATTTTATCTTCTGATTTGTGATTTTATATATAGTGGTGTTGTACGTTGGTGTACTTGTATTGATTGATGGTGGAAATTGTGTTACATGTATCATAGTGCTTCTTATCAACATTGAATGATGAGTACATTAAATTAAGACAAATGATTATATATATCTATCTTGCTATTAGCCCATATATACAAGCTTATTCCAAGTTTGATTTACCGTGAGAGTAGTTTATTAACATCGTTCTTGATTTGGACTCAACAATTTTGGATAATCTAAACGCTTTACCTGATTTGCTTGGTCCTTTGTCAGCTAAAATTACAATGAGAAATGTGTGTACATATCTCACTACGAATTTCTTTCGTCACAAAAAAAAAAAATAAAAATTAATGCAAAAAACTTAACCGCACTAAACCAAGGGTTTAGAAGCCATTATGATAAGAATTTATAGTGTCGGTTTCAACTTTTAAGAGACGCTATGTGCAATTGGTGAGAATTTAGTAACGATTAAGAATTTAGTATCGGGTTAAATTTGTTGATGAACGATCAAAAATAATTATGCCACAATTAATAATACTAGACCAAATAATGATATTTTGTAAAAAAAAAAAAAAATAACTAAAAATAAATTGTCACCTATAAATCTAAAAAACAAAATGGAATTAACTCTTAGTTAATGTTTCCAGTCCACCTAGGAGGCAAGGTACGATGTTAGAAGTTGTTGCCATTCATTATACTCTAATTCAAGCAACTACTCCATATTGATGCCATTAAGATAATAATATACTCCCCACCCAATATTCAACCTCTCCAGCAATCCATTATTATCTCATATTATCATCTCACAAGAAAATTGTTGAACGGATCGAGGTCGATAAAGGGTCAAATCCAGCACCAAGTGGTTAAAGGATTGTTGGACGGAAGTCTAAAGGATCAAGTTCAACACTCTACCGCTTGAAAATATGGCAACATAAAAAAACAAATAAAATTGTGCATTTGATACTAACTACAACTTTTTGTATACTAGTAAACATTTGATCCTAATAAATGATGTCATAGGTAGATCACGAGTTTAAAAGTAAGCTATAATAAATTATAATCTTACCATGTTAAAAGGTTGGGACAGAAAGGTACGTATTGGGCGTCATGTAATAAAACTGCATTCATTAAAACAGTTGGGTTTTGCACATAACAAATAAACCACGTTTTAATTTATTAAGGGCCCATTACTGATTGGACTTGACTCTTTTCAAACAAGATCACCAACTAACCAAGGTCCAGCTGATTACAATTATTATTGTGTGGACCATATTATCAAATAATGTTTATTTAGTATATAAATAATGTACATTATATTCAGGAAACAATGTTATTTTGTAACTTACATAAGGTCATAAACAATGTCATTAGTGGTGGTGTCGCTTTTTCACGTAATTAGAAACAAAATTAGTGTTGCAAATACATAGTTTGTTGACTGTAGTTACATAATATGATTACTATCAATTTATATAATCAATACCTTAAATTTATAATAAAAACTTGTTAATTTTCAACCAAATATATCTTAAAACTATATCATAATTATAATTACATATTAAACACTCAATTTATGAACCTTTAATTTTAAGTTTATTTATCTATTAATTTAGAACAAATATTATCTTGTAGAGAATTATAAGTGTTTAAAAAAATATTTATGTATTGTTCACATATTATGAACCTATAATAATGTTAGAATTACTACTTGACATGATATATTTTAAATTAAAATACTATATATCTATTGTAAATGTGAACGTTGACCAAAAGAAAAGGAAAAAAGTTGGAAACAAAATAATATGAACCATAGGGTCCAACTTTACCATATAATTTGGCAAATTATGCTGTGCATCCGTATGCACCATGCATGGTGCATACGGATGCAAAAACGACGTCATTTTAATAAAACGTGCGTCTCCCCTTAAAAAAAAATCAGGTTCGATTCCCAGTAACAACATATGAACTAAAATTCCATAATCGTTAAACTATAATTCCATAATCGATGAACTATAATTCCATAATCTAATATATGAACTAAAAATTCCAGAATGAATGAACTAAAATTCCATAATCTATAAACTAAAATTTCAGAATCGATGAACTACAGTTCCATAATTGATGAACTATAATTCCATAATCAATGAACTATAATTCTATAATCTATGAACTAAAATTCAAGAATGAATGAACAATATAATATTGTTGCTGAGAATTGAACCTGAATTTTTTTTAAAGGGAAGATGTGCGTTTTTTAATAAAACGACATCGTTTTGACATCCGTATACATCATGCATGGTGCATACGGATGCACAACATAACGATTGATATAATTTATGGTTGTGTTCCCTCTTGTCGGACTGTTCCACCTCGGACAACTCGAGGATTCCCGGACACGTGAAAGTAATTTAAGGCAAATCCCATGCACAAAAAATGGAGAAATCCACTCACGCTATTTGAATGTTAGCTACCTTCCCACCTCATTTGATTCGTGGAAAATATTTGAGAGTAAATAGGATTAAAATTTTATAAAAGAATAAATTATCAAAAAGATTGATTTCATTATTTTAATTTGTGGAAAATAAATTATTGAGTATAGTGATTCTGTTATTTGGTTGGAGTTGAAACGATAATGAATAATAAATATAAAGACTAAAATATTCATATACAATAATTAATGATAATAAAAGTAATAAAGGCAAAATTGTTCAATTATGTGATACTTTTTTCTTAACTTTTATGCAAAAAAAAAAAAACAAAATATCAACCCCTTCCTAAGAAAAATTACTATTTTCCTAAAAAAGAAAAAATTAAAAAACATTTTTTTGTGAAAAAAGTTTTCCATGAATTAAACTGATGAGAATTTTATTTTTCTCAAATTTAAAGAAAATTATTTCTTTCAAAAACTTTTTTCTATCCAACAAAACATGCTTTAGTGTTTCACTTGCCACACTCAAATGATTGAGTTAAATTTTGTTTAGATGACGTGGGAAGTTTATTGTTATTATTCGGAATATATATGTAAATTAAGTTTACATTTAAAAAAAAAAAAAATCAATGATCAAGAGGATAATACTTTTTCAAAAACACTAATATTTCACAGTTCTCAACTTTGAAATGCTCAATTCATTATTAAGAATAATGTGCGGAAGGAAAAACATCAATGATCTATAAAGTTTTAGTATGCAGAAAGCACTCGCAATTAGGGTGTAAATGAGTCGAGCAGCTCGCAAGCCGCTCAGTCAAAGTTCAACTTGAGATCAGTTAACTTCGAACTCAAGCCGAATTATTTCGTAATCGAGCTTAAGCTCAAATATTTTATGCATGTGGTTCGCCGAGCGCACACAGACAGACACACACACGCACGCGCGCACACACACACACACACACACACACACACACACACACACACACACACACACACACATATATATATATATATATATATATATATATATATATATATATATATCCAAGCGGCTCGCGAGTTGCTCGAGCTCGAGCTCCAATTTTTGAGCTCGTTCGTATTGAACTTGAGTTCGAGTCTACCTATTGTTTATCGAGCTCGATGTCGGTTCGGCTCGGCTCTACTCGCAACATATAACATAACCCATCAGTCAACCATCATATTTTATTCTCTATAAATGTGCATTAATTTTATCTCCGATTAACAATTAATTACTCTTTTATAACATTCTCTAACAAGTTGGATATAAGTCTACAAGGAGCACACCCTTCATCAGTCATTTAACATTTGAATTACTTTATACGCTCACAAAGAGCTAGTGTACTGATATGCTTTCAAGTTGTTCATCATATTTTAGTCACACTCACATATATTTTAATGTATAAAAAAAGTTAACAAATTTTCAATCTCAAAGATGCATCATGTTCGTGTGTATTATTTCTATAAATAGAAAGGGGTAAGCATATGATGAGTAGAAAACTACTAAGATGTCTAGTTAATTAGTGCATATTTGTAGAGAGCAAAATAGATCAAAGCAACGTATTTTAATTTATTGTGAAATCTTCTGTCATATATGATCGAGTTTAATTATGATTGAGATATTTCTTTGTAGTTGTATTTTCTTTTTCCGGCCTCTCTTTCGTAGATCTAAAATAAATAAATAAATAAATAGAAGTAATTGTAATTTTATAAATATAATGATGATAATTTTTTATTTCTTTTAAAAGAAAACATCGTTCCTTTTTAGTGACGCAACGTTTGTCAAACCTTTTCTTGTTTTGTTGATGAAACAAGATATTCCCACAAATTAAAAGAGTGAAGAGATCTTATATATGTGGAAATCTATAACTGCTTATGTATGCATTTCCAAGAAAGAACATGAAATTCAGGAAAGCATTATAAAATCTTTGATTTCATTCCACTAAAAAGAGATTTTAATTTTTTGAACTAACAAGAAAAATTCACCATTATTATCTAAAAATGTGTAATAATTTACAAATCATAATAAAAAAAATTATTTATTAATAAAAATCAAATTCATAACCTTTCAGTACATTAATTATATTACACTCACTCTATCGGTCTTTTCAAAACATTAAAAACACTTTTAATTTTGGCGGGAAGGTTGGTGAGTGGTCATAATCACTCACTCACACGTAGACTCTGTTGCATCCACTGGATATTAAGGCTAATAACAGTCTTAGAACGATTAGTATTGGGTTGATGTTCATTTAATTGTATGAAAGAAAGTAAGAAACTTTATGAAAGGGAATTTGGGATATTAAATGAGTTAGTTAAATGGAGAAATATTTGATTGGTTTTAGTTTCTATTGACTTTTATGAAAAAAAATTAAATCTTCAAGTGTCGGTTGGATTCCTTTTGGAGATAAATTTTATAGAAAAAATAAAAAATACAAAATAAAAAACAATTCAAAACATAAAATATTTCATATATTTCAATAAAATTACATATTACAACTATTTATAGTTTCTTTATAGCGGATATGAAAAGATAGTTTAATTTTGAATGCTACGCACTTGGGAAAGATAGACTTTTGGAAATAAGAAATCTCCTAGTATCTAATAAAATTATTGACTATTATCCATGCATTTCATCATCCA